AAAATACGCAAAAAGGCGGAGCATTTGGTGTTGGGTAGTTAACACCCTCGACGTCTAACGCCCCTTAACACCCAAAACGCCCTCAATATAGACATTGGTATTTGCCAACGTTACTGTTACTGTTACTTTAACGCGAATGGTTTGGAAAAATAGGGCAAATCATAAAAGAAAAAAGAAATGCGCTTCATTTAGCAACAAATTGTTGTGACGACAAAGTAAAAAAAAAAAAAAATAAAAAACCAACAGAAAGAAAATTTCAATTCCTGTCCGCTTTCAACGGTTCAACAACTTTTGTTACATTTTGGACACACTTAAAATGCCATTGCCAATTGGCATACAACAAAAGTGGAAAAGTGAAAAAAAAAACCAACGTCCAATAAAAAACAAAAGCAAACAAATAGCGAAAAACAGAGAAAAGTGAATTGGGCGCCGTAAAATGAACGAAAAACCGAAACCAAAGCAATTAAATTTGTTTAAATCGATTTAAGCTGACAATAGACAATGGCTGGCCTCCGTTCGTCCGTCTCTCTGTCTGTCCATGGATTTTGTGGACAGCAGCAGGCCCTGAATTGGACTGGTCTACTACTACTACTACTACTACTACCCATTTCATGGCTACGGGTTCAGTTTCGGGTTCATTTCAGTTCACTAGTATATTCTCTTTCCAATTCTTCTCCGCCTCCTTCTCTTTGGTATCGTTTGAATATGGGGCGTGGCATGGCGTGGCGGCCAACCATATAGCAATTACAACCGCAATTGCCAATAAAATGACAACGTTAAATTCTATGGCAGTTTGTGCAGCTCAAAACGAACCTCGGACGATGGACTTAAGTTATTTATAAAACAATCAATTTGTATTGCCTTATTTAGAACGAACCAACGAACGAATAAATGAAAATATAGAAGAAGACAAAAAAAAAAGATGAAATTAAAATCATATTTTTGTATTTCGAGCACGTTGCCGAGGATTGAGTTAGATTTAGAAGCTTTGATTTTTATTTTCTTCGTATTTTTGGAAGGGAAATTACATTTCATAAACTAACGAATTTGCTTGTTGTTTATATTGGTATATAAATATGCAGATATTTGTTGATTTTTGTTATGTCTAAGATATATATTTTTGTATTTTCAAGAATTTGTATGTATTATATAGATAATCAAGAGAACTAGCAATTAAGGTTAGGCACAAACAAAAATTTTTACATTGATTTGATTTTCATATCTGTAGACAATGTTAATCTCTTAACTCTCACAGAAACACTTTTAACCAACTTACAAGCAACGGATATAGCCAAGTGCAAAATGTTAATTTGCCGACAGGGACAAAAGCTAAAGGATTTACTGTCGTTTTCCATGGAAAAACCAACCCATTTCATATACGAGTACATATTATACAAAGCGTAACTCAAAAGTTTTTGTGGGTCGTTGTAAATGGCTGCGATTTCGCATTCAAAAGTTTTGAGGTATTAATCCAAGTTTGGCGGTTTTTCGCCTGGAACTCATGTAACTCTTCTCCTCCCCTCTACCAAAAGGAAAACTAAGGAACGATAAACCTTCCCAGTTCTAAACCCTGCGCCGCCAATCAGGAAAACTCCAAGGCAACCCTCACTACAACCAGTACCCAGTTTTCCAGTGGTAAAACAACGAACGAAAACCCATTGAGAAAATATTTAACAAAGCGAAAAATTGCACCGCTTTTCTTTTATTTGCATATTTAATTTGTTTTGAGGTTTTTTCTATCCGAGCAAAAAACCGCTGACACACAGCAGAAACAAAAAACGAAAAGTAAAAAAACAAAAAGCAAAAAACAAAACAACAAAAATTACAAAAATTGTGCACAAACAAAAGGAAAACAAACAACACACACGGGCATACTCAGAGTATATTCTACCAACTGAATATACGAATGGCAAAACCCCCGACTACTGTTTGAACTTGAAATCCAGTCCAGTCCACATGGAAAACCCAAAAACTGAAAAGCTTTCTCACCCTCGCACTCTCTCTGGCCACTCGGAAAATATATCAAACACATCAAATATTTGCTTTTCTGTTTATTTTCAAATATTTGTAATTATAAGTCGGCAAAGAAAAATCCAATGAAAATAGTCCAAATGGTTGTTGGGATATGGATAGCCCTTCGTTTTCGTGAGATTTAGGGGGGGACACTCGATTTAAATTGATGAGACCCAGATCAGAGCTGGACATTTTTGGGTTTGATTTAATGAGGGTTGGATTGGATTTAGTAAACTGTTTAAAGGTTTTTTATTGTTTTTAAATAACTTGAATTAAATAAGGACTTGTAAATTAAGTAAGTAATAGCCTTAAATTAGTAAAAACTGACTTTTAGCGACTTTCTTTGGAAATGAAAAGTAGGATTAGGGCAATGGTGCTCAACTTCGGCTTACGGCAATTACTAATACGAATACAGCAAAACGTGCACATATGTAGTGATGCTTTTGTGCTGGTGTTCTGCTGAGCACTGAGAGAGAAAAAACTTTTGTTTTGCTAACCAATTTATCACCGATTTTAACACTCACGTCGATGGTTGCGAAATAAACTCTGAAGTACAAACAGAAGTTATAAGGAATGAATTCCAGTGCAAGAGTTCGAAGATGATCAAGGAAGAAGCAAAAACGAATTACGTTGTAGTTGGTGACGGAATGAGGCGGAATGAGGGACACGATAAATTGTTAGTAGGAATAGCAAAAGTTCGAAGATGATCAAGGAAGAAGTAAAAACAAATCACATAGCAATTGGCGACAGAATGAGGCGGAAAGAGAAATATGAAAAATTGTTAGAGGAATAGCAAGAGTTCGAAGATGATCGAAGAAAAAACAAAAACAAATTACATAGCAGTTGGCGACGGAATGAGACGGAAAGAAGAAAATGAAACATTGTTAGTAGAGCAGCGTAGCGAGGGCTAAAAGCTTATAGGCGAACAGGCAGCGAGTATTTACAATGCTTTGAGCATCCCTGGCTTATACTATATAAAGCTGAATCTTTAGCCAGTTTAGAGCTACTTTCAGAAAAGAGTACTTTCTTGTTCTTAAATGAAACTACTTCTGGCTTTTAACATGGGATAAATTCGTCTATTTTCTATTCATTTTATAACAAATAATCCTTACCCAGTCTTAATCCAACTTTAGTGGAAACTAAAAGCTAAGCCTAAGTAATAACAACATCTCTGCTTCACATTTATGGTAAAAAAAGAACTCCAATTAAATTCATACTCAAAAATTCAATTTACAAGCAAGCTAAGCATGTTTCAATCGGCTTTTAGTGGAAAGTATTTACTCTTTTTTTTGGGGTGGAAAACAAACTTTTCCTGCCCCCTTTTTTTCCCCCAGCTGATGATTGTTTCTGGCAGGTTCTTATGAGAAAATGACGAAAATGTGAACTAAACTCCTAAATAATTTATATTGGCTGCAAAGGGCTTTTGTAGTTTACTTTTTATGGCATTTAATAAAGTTTTTCCTGGGGTGCAGCAGCGCCGACGTTGAACCAATATTTGTCTCGTGGGCTGCCTTTCTTTAGCCAGAAAATGGATCGACATGAGACAGAGACAGAGACAGCGACAGCACGTGGCATGTTTTGGATGGAGGAGGAAAACCTTCAGAAGTGTTGACGTCACGAATAGCGCTTAATTAAAGCGGAAACCCGGCTCAATGCTAAAAAGGCGGTCCTTCATCCGCAGAATTTTATTTTCGTTGTTTTTTTTCTACTGTTTTTCTGTTTGTCTCTTGTTTTCACTTGCTTAAAAGAAAAGCTTGCCAGCGGAAAACCGCCCGGTGGGTCCACCCCTTTTTTTCCAGCCCAATATGATGGCTGCTTTACCCAGAGGAGAAAAAATAAAATAGGAAAGAGAAAGAGAAAGGGGGCCGAACAGCATGGGTAGCGATGCCGCAAGTCAGTTAGAAGCCGCAAACTGTCACAGTTTAACAACATTTTCATTAATCAAGCCGCTGCGACTGCCACCTGAAGAGCCAAAGAGGACGGAACACAGATTAAGGATGGGACGGATGGACTTGCTCCAACACTGAACCGAATCCTTGTTCATGCCTTTGTCAATCTCTTTTGGTGGTTCTTACACTCCAGCACTTTACGAGTCCTGTTTGCAAGGGATTTTTATGGTCCTCCATCCATCTGCTTAATTGTGGTGGGAATTTTGTTTTGTTTTCAATTTGATTTGTTTATTTAAAATTGAAAGTAATTAAGCATTAAATAAAACATTAAGTGCAGCGAAAATGCCAATATATTGGCATACATTTTAGTGGGTCAATAACTAGAATTTATTGGGCTTAAAAATCATTAGGTGATGGAATTTAGAACAAGCTCGGATTTATTTCAATATGCTCGGCAAGTTTGTTTTATTATCAGCCGCAGAAATAATAAAATCAATTTAGTTAAATAAATTGAATTAATTATATGATTTATTCGTTGAATATTAATCATGAAAATTCAATTAAATTTCAATTTCATTTCGTTCCATAAAATCCACAAAATGTCAAAGAAATTTTATGTGAAATTCAAAAACCACAAGGCCTTTAAGACTGTGACACATGTAAGTCTGTAATTAAGAACCCGGCGATCAATTTGTAATAATATTTGTTATTTCTGTGTGTCGAAGGGTCCTGCCACACATAATCCTCTTATATCAAGACCATATGTATATATATATGTTATATTATGTGCTGGTTCGGAATACCGAACACCGCGCTAATTACCCAATCCCATTGATGACACACAGAACAAACTTTTGCCAATAAGGCAAATCCTTTTGGCCTTGCCGCTAATGTCTCACCTTTTGGCTCGTTAGCAACCTTTTGGGTATCCGTATCCTTAGCCTCGTCCCTTTTTTTTTTGGACAACTGGACACACAGCGCCCAACCCAACTTAACCTAACCTAACCCCCCAGCCAGCCTAAACCCAAAACGACCACACACTTTGGAACACTTTATTAATTGACAAACTCTCTGAATTTTTGCGCATTTTCATTTCAGGTGGAAAGAGCAGTGGTAGCAGCAGCCGAAGCAACACGGCTATTTGCGAGCTTAGAGCCCACCACTGTCCGCCGGGACATTAATTAATCACGGCCTTGTCATTCGCAAGGATCAAGGAGTGGCAAAGCACGCCGCTGCGAGAGGCACGCAGAGCGAAGGGTGCGGAAATCAAATTAACAGTGCGTCAAAAGGATTAACCCTCGAAAGCCAGAGCAGGAGTTTAGAGCACGTAACGGAACGCGGTGAGGCGAGTAAACATCCCCGGGATCCATCCACCACATTTCAGGGTCAGGAGTTGGGAGTTTCGGAGTTTCGGAAGCTTCAAGCTCAGAGCTCTGAGCTTGGCGGTTGGAGTTCATAGTTCGTTTGGAAGCACTTGGACCGTGTTGGCACGTGTTCGGTGGCTCGTCGTCGCAGATTAGCGAGAAATCCCGATACAACAGCCGCATCAGAAAGAACACACAAATAAGAAACTACAACGATGATGATGACGCAAACGGAAAGGAATGGACGGTTGGGTATCCTGGTCGTGGCAGTTTTAATGGTTCTGCCCCAGGTGATGTCCACATCCGATTGGATGCAGAGCTGCGGGACATGTCATTGTCATTGGAATTCGGGCAAGAAGAGTGCCGATTGCAAGAACAAGGCATTGACCAAGATCCCAATGGACATGAGTAATGAGATGCAAGTATTGGACTTTGCCCACAACCAGATACCCGAACTGCGACGCGAGGAGTTTCTGCTAGCCGGGCTACCGAATGTTCACAAGGTCTATTTGCGGAACTGCACTATTCAGGAGGTGCATCGCGAAGCCTTCAAGGGTCTGCACATCCTGATCGAACTAGACATGTCCGGCAATCGGATACGGGAACTCCATCCGGGCACTTTTGCTGGACTAGAGAAGCTGCGCAACGTGATCATCAATAACAATGAGATCGAAGTGCTGCCCAATCATCTGTTCGTCAACTTGAGTTTCCTGTCGCGCATCGAGTTCCGGAATAATCGATTGCGTCAAGTGCAACTCCATGTCTTCGCCGGCACTGTGGCGCTGAGCGCCATCTCGCTGGAACAGAATCGTTTATCCCATCTGCACAAGGAGACATTCAAGGATCTGCAGAAGCTTATGCATCTATCCCTGCAGGGCAATGCCTGGAATTGTAGCTGCGAGCTGCAGGACTTCCGGGACTTTGCGATCAACAAGCGTCTGTATACACCGCCCACCGATTGCCAAGAGCCGCCACAGTTGCGTGGCAAACTCTGGAGCGAAGTGCCCTCGGAGAACTTTGCCTGCCGGCCGCGCATCCTGGGCTCCGTTCGTTCCTTTGTGGAAGCGAATCATGACAATGTCACATTACCCTGCCGCATTGTCGGTAGTCCACGTCCGAATGTCACCTGGGTGTACAACAAACGACCATTGCAACAGTACGATCCCCGAGTGCGTGTCCTAACTTCCGTGGAGCAGGTGCCGGAACAGCCATCCCAAGTGCTGACATCAGAGCTCCGAATCGTTGGTGTAAGACCCTCGGACAAGGGTGCCTACACCTGTGTAGCCGACAATCGAGGAGGACGAGCTGAGGCTGAGTTCCAGCTGCTCGTCAGCGGTGATTATTATGGGGCAATAGCCTCCTCCGATGGCATGGGATCGGGCGGCATGGGTGCCATTGGAGCACCCACTATTGATCCACAGACGAATGTCTTTCTCATCATCTGCCTGATAACCACCACACTGCTGCTCCTGCTGATCGTGGTGGTGTTGGTGTTATTCTGGTACTGCCGACGCATCAAGACTTATCAGAAGGACACCACTATGATGAGCGGCGATGGTCTGATCTCCTCGAAGATGGATAAGACGCACAATGGTTCCATGCTAGAGGGCTCTGTGATTATGGAGATGCAAAAGAGTCTGCTTAATGAGGTTAATCCCGTTGAGAAGCCACCGCGTCGCACGGACATCGAGAGTGTTGATGGCGGCGATGATGTACTTGAGATCAAGAAGACGCTACTGGATGATACGGTTTATGGTGAGTGTTTATAGTTGGTAAAGCTATTTAAATAGGTATTATCTTTAGTTTAGTTAGAAGTTAATAAGTCACGTTAATCAGTGATTTTTTAACTAATTTTGAAACAACTTTAATCCTAATTCTATTTAAATCCAAAAATGTGAAGAATTCAGGTTTTTATTGCAGGACAAAATTGTAACCACACATGTTGACCACGATGGCATATTTTATTTCGTCATTAACGTTCATTAGCCAATTAAATTCATAGTAAGGGGTCGGTATATTTTTTGTAACTTTTAATATGTGCATTTTCAAGGGGTGTCGCCACAATCGACCACATATCGCCAGCTATTTTAATCAACAATAGTGATAATTGCCTCAGTTTTGCAATAAAAATCAAAAATAAAAAGTCAAACTAACGTGTAATTTTAATAAATAAAACTTGTAATGATTGCAATAACATAAACTTGAATAGCAAGGCTCTCATACTCATAAATGTTGTGTCATGAAAAACATTCCCTATATCAATGATAAGGTGTAGATTTTTTTTTATAGATTTACAAACAGAAATGTCATTCAATTGAATGCCTTAATTTGCAAGGCAAATAAATTTTATAATTTAAATAACAGTTTTTAACATTTAATAACGAGAACGAGAGCGACGACGACAACGAGATACATGACTTATTTTATATGTCATCATGGCGGTTGAGCAGCAAATGATGCGAGGCACAGTGTCAACACACGGCTGGGTCTATTTACCCAAAGTTTCCATCTCAATGCCATACTCCAGGACGTTTGTCAATGTGGAATGACCTGACCATGCCAGAATTCTAGCGCCAATGTCAACACACTTGTTATTTCCGCGGCAAAGGCAACACGGAAAATTCCTCTTTGCTGGAGGTTGTCTACCCATCCTGGCCAGCGACTGGCTTCTCGTGTTCGTGTTCATGCGGTCATCAGGATGCGGGAAAACAGCAATTCAACATTCTGTCAACTTTCGAATGTTTGCTTTAAGTTTCCAATTGCCCATCATCAGCTACTAGTTAGTAGTAGAGGTATCTATACTAAAAGTTAGTTTGACAAATATTCTCGGGCACAAAAAAGTAATAGCTTTGAATTCGTTAGTCTAACGATAATATTAAACGATGCTATTAAACTTAATGAAGGTGATTTAACTACACCTATATTGGTAGGGAATCTACTAGATTTTGTGACTGATACAGTAATACAGTAATCAGTCATCATAAAAAGGTCATGTCTTGGATTTGATGGACTTGATTTGATTTAGCATTTAATATGGCAATGGGCTTTGTTTTTTATGAGGAAATTAACCAAACATACGCTCAGCCAACGTATAATGTTAACTACAAGCTATTAATCAAAGCAATTCATTGATTAAAACATAAATAAGCATTAAATTAAACACTTTAATGAATAATAATACATTGAGACCTAACTTCTATATAAATAAACAGGTTTTTGTAATGTTTAATGTTTTTTTTTGATATACTAGCCTTTTACTTGTAGTTCTCGGATAGAAATACTAGAATAAATAAATAAATTTGCAATTTCCAATTGGTGTTGGCAATTGAATTGCACTGACAATTGAGAAAGACAATTGAATGCAATTGATGGACTGCACTCGTGTCACTTATGCCTTTTTTCTTGTCTGATTGGGGCAAACAAGCGTTGACATGTGCCACATGTGTGTTCCGCTGCGGCTGGAAGGGATTACGCACCCAATCACCACCTTTTTTTTTTGTTGCTAAAGAAATGCCTGTCAAAAAGTGTGTTCCTTGTTTTTGAATTAAGTTAAAAAGAGATTTAAGAAGTATAAAGCTATCAAGAGTTCCTTTAAATTAGATTAGATAGTATTATATAGGTTTAGGATGTCCAAAAAATGTTACTTTTTACATTTAAGATCATAAGTTTGTACTATGACTAAGCTGTCATAAGATTAAGTTGATTCCAATTGAGTTAATATAATAATAACTTTTCTATCTCCTTCCAGTGGCCAACCATTCTCGTGACGAAGAAGCTCACTCGGTGGCTTTATCGGATACAACAACCACGCCGCGTTCTCGACACACCTACGTGGACGATGCCTATGCCAACAGTTTGCCACCGGATTTACTTGCCTTTCCTGCCCGCGTGCCACCCTCATCACCGTCGATGCAATCATCGCAGTCCAATATACCCGACCAGGTGATCTTTGGCATCCGTTCGCCGCCCTCGTTGACCAGTCCGGTCTATACGCACATGACGCCGCACGGTATTTATGGCACCAAGACGATGGCAGCTCCGCATAACGGTTTCATGACACTGCAACATCCCAAGTCCCGGAACCTTGCCCTGATCGCCACAGCCAACAGCAGTCGCCAGCATCAGCACCATCATCTCCAGCAGCAGCAACAGCAACAACAACAGCAGCAGCAACAGCATCCGCTGGCCACCACATCGCCCTTCCTGCCCGCTCCCGTTGTCTACTCACCTGCTACGGGCGTGGTAATGAAACAGGGCTACATGACCATACCTCGCAAGCCGCGAGCTCCCAGCTGGGCCCCCAGCACGTCCGGTGCCGCTGGTCACGGAACTATCCAGTTGAGCGAGTTCCAGAGTCCCACCTCGCCAAATCCCAGCGAGACGGGCACAGCTACCACAGCGGAACTGCAAGCAGAGCCCGTCTACGATAATTTGGGACTGCGCACAACCGCCGGTGGCAATTCCACTCTCAATCTGACCAAGATCGCCGGCTCCCAGGCCAGTGGTCAGCAGTATTCGATGCGAGACCGGCCACTTCCGGCCACGCCAAGCCTGACATCAGTGTCCTCGGCAACCAATGCCAACAAGATATACGAGCCCATACACGAGCTGATCCAGCAGCAACAGCAATTGCAACAGCAGCAGCAACAGCAGCGACTGGGCTCCTTGGACACGGAGCCCCTGTACGGCGTTAGGCATCAGGGGATCACGATATTGCCTGGTTCTAGCATCAGTGGCGCTGGACTAGGACACGCTGCATATATCTCACCTGTTCCGGCGTCAGCCGTATCGCCAAGCCATGCCGGCAGCAGTGGCGATTCACCGAAGGCCGCCAAGATCCCACCGCGCCCACCACCGAAGCCCAAGAAGAAGATGTCCGTGACGACGACGCGCAGCGGTCAAGGCAGTACTAGCCAGCTATTCGACGACGAGGGCGAGGATGGCACCGAAGTCTAGTTTGGCAACCACGGCGATCCCCATCAGCTGGTGGTGGAGACTATGAGATGCAATGTGTGAGATAAGATGAGAGATGCCATTGATGGGAAGAAGGGGCAAGAAGCAGCTGAAGGATGAGGAGTGCGTCCGTGGCAAGCTGTGCAGCTGTGGTAACTTTATTGCGTGAGAAGATGCGATAGGCAGCCCCAGTCGACAACAAAATACAACATCAACATCAAACATCAACATCAACATCCGCTGTTGCGGCTTGTAAAAATAGCCGCCAGAAGGATTCTGTTCCGTGGTTCACGCCACTGCGTGACTTGTGTGCCAAACGACTGATGTAGGTTTTAGTAATTAACTCGATGAACATGCAACAAAAGAGAAACACAAAAACGAGGATATATAATCTTTAACGAGGATCCATTACAAAAAAAAAAACAAAAACAAAACAAATACATAGAGAGACTCCCATCCGTTAGGGCGACATAAGTCGCTTTTAGTACCATCTAATCCCAAAATTCGTATAAGCGGAGATACGTAAAAACCCAATTTTAATACCACCTTTTTTTGTGTAGACTATAGTTAGTTTGGTACAAAATGCATTATTCGTATATAAAGAGACATATATATACACGCAATTTTAAAACATATATATATATATACATAAACCTTTAAAAAACAAAATATCCTATAATGAAACAACAAAAACAAAAAATATACAAAAAGAAACTTTCAAATCATCGACAGTTTATTTAAGCGCAAGAAAGAAATATTCTTTTTTTTCAAAATTTTATAAAATTGTAAATGTAAAATGCATATTATATAAACTATATATGTATAATCACATTAAGCTATATATTAATGAATACATATATATATACTTAGAGCTTAAGGAAAACAAATTGCATCCTTAATTTTTTTTTTTTTATTTGTTTTACGGAATGCCACCACGAATCGGGAATAAAAACTAAATGAAAGTATATATTTATAGGGAGTAAGTTTGTTAAGTGCATTAGCCGTAGGATAAAGAGTTTGCATTCGCAATTAAAACAATGAATTAAAACTTCTATGATGTATACATATAGTCTAGAGAGAAGGCGCGGCAGAAGAAGTACAGCTATAATATTAACGATTGTACTAGTTATAAAATATATATAAATCTATATATATATATATATATATATATATATATATATAAAATAAATTTGTATGTACATGGACTCACGTATGACATTCTAGACAAGAAAAAAATTATACACCCGTAATACAACAAAGATGAAAAGAAAAGTTATAAGCATAGCTAAAGCTGGTACCCAATGCCTGCTTATTGTGTATGTATGATGTACCAGTATGTCTGAAAATACACCTTGAAAATTACCTTCACGCGACTCATTTAATATCCGAAAATGAAAATATATACATGGCATTTAACAGCAATCACTCTAACTACATCAAAAACAAAATATAACAAAAAAAAAAACTAAAGTTTAAGTCAAATGAGAAATATTGGATAATTCAGAAAGATAGCAGCTAACTACAATTAGTAGTTAAAAGTACAGTTGAGACCAGATTTCCCTACCATATATGTATCCTACAATATCCTATCATACTGTACGATATTTCCCAATTAAACTACAATTTTTTTTAATATTTTATTTATATTAATTATACTTTTAATTTCCCGCACCATATAGGCAATCGATCTGCATCTAAATGCATTTTTATTTAATAAAAATGTAATTTCAGGCACTGCCAAAACTACTTTATAATAGGACAAACGATCTTAATAAAACAAAACTAAAAAATGATGTATTGTTTAAGGCAGGCCTGGAAAATGTTCTGCGATTTTAAAAAGCCAGTCCCTCAAAAAAGAAATATATTAATAGAATTGTAAAGTACACAGCCCCATACTTGCCCCTAGGAAAAGTCGATTTGACATAGGGAGCACCGATTTGTTGGAAAGATCAACCATATAATCGTACACCTAATCCATACTTGGTTTTAAAATAAGCAAAAGTATTACATAAATAATAAGTTACCTTACGTTTTTTTATATCGTGCTCGTTTATTTTTTTGTATTCAATTATTTACACTGTAATTATATGTAGAATTTTCTTTGATACTTGGACAAACGCAGCATAATTAATAAAAAAATATCTCGGTAATACAAAACATTTTGTAAACCCACAAAAGAAATATAAATACAAAAAAAAAACAGAATAACGTTGCGAACAATTTGTTCAAATTAGCTCAAAATCAAAACAATTATAATTATAAATTGTAATCTAACTGTAATTGATAGAAGGGTTCTTATATATACGTTTTTTTATAATTTTGCATAATTTGCCTAACATATAAAATATTGAAATAAACTATGAATAAAAGGAATCCAACGATGTCAGACTTTTACTTGCGATGTAGGACTTCTATTTAAAAAGGTAAGTTTTTAATTACCTTACCAGATATTAAACAAATTATTTTTAGGAGTGTATGTCGACAGTTGCCCGCTTAATCGAAGTACTTCGATTCATGATAGAAAATTTAAAAGTTAATGCCCGTTAGGGCACTGTCGCCCTTTTCAATATTACGCAACATAAAACTTATATTGAAATCAACTTTTAAACAAGCCAATGTGAGGGACGACATGCAGCACATGCCCGAAAGCACGAAACACTTTTTTTTTGTAAGACATCGCAAAATGTTGCCGAAAGTTTTTTATTATACCCTTTTACTTGTACAGCTGAAAAGGGCATGTTGTATTTCTGCAAAAATGTTTAACAAGAGTAAGTATATAAATGACCAGCATTAACGGAAATGTCCTTGTAAACATGTCCACTTGAAAATCTAGGACCGCGCAACTAAGATAGGCACTAAAGCATCTAGGACACTCACCAAAAATATTGAAAATGTCTGCTTTCAAAAAATTGTCGTGGAGTTTTCTTTAAGAAAATTGAAATTATATTTAAACCACTTTTATAGAACAATCATACTTGATGGTTTTCGTTAGATTGCTTTCACTATATCTATAAGTAATATCAAATCATATCACTATAAATAATAACATATGGTATCTCATAGTCGAGATACTCGACTACATTGGTCTTTCTTAAGAAAAAAGAACACAAGAAAACTAAGAAGACCAAAGTACAAAACTCGACAGTAACAACAGCACAGGATTGAAGAAGCAGACGTCAGGGGGAGAAATGGGGCTGAAAAGGAAAAAAGCGTACAACTATATCTAAAAATTGGACAGCTTGACAGCCAAAGACTCTTTCATAAACTAGCGTAACTTTTGTGTCCCGAGATTAAACCAACAACAACAGCATGAAGCGAAAAGAGCACAACAAATGGGTGCAGATCCAAGACAAATCTCCCCGTTTTGAAAAATTAATTTTGGAACTTTGTCATTTCTGCATATAAGAGTCTACAACTGAAAGCGATCAAATCGTAATTGGCAATAATACTCAGAATAATCCTGAGTAAGCTCAACCATAAAGAAGATTAACTTCTTAACTTTGATCTGAAGAAAATTTAACCTATTTTAACCTAAAAATCGGCTTTTTAACAGCCAAATTTGAAAAATTCATTGAAAATTAAGTTTCGAATGTTAACAGGCAGTTAACGACTATGTGAGTTAACTTCAACTTAACCGTGTGCAATCCGCGGCCCTTGTAATTCCCAACACGTTCTAGCAGAAATGTTATGACTAGGGCGTTGCTGCGGTGAAAAATCAGTCAAGTCATTTTTGTGTGTGTGTGTTTGTGTTCTTTTAGTTCCTTCAAGTGCTTCCAAGTGGTACAGTGGTACGCACCATCATATTGGTGGTACCTGGACATGGCCTCCATGGAGGAAGCAGTGCATCATGGATTTTTCTGGGAATCCATATTCTGGACTCTGGATGTGGTAGTGGTACCTGGACATGGCCTCCATGGAGGAAGCAGTGCATCATTAATTTTTTTGGGAATCCATATTCTGGCCTCTAGATGTAGTAATGGTACCTGGACATGGCCTCCATGGAGGCAGCAGTGCACCATGGGTTTTTTTGGGAATCCATATTCTGGACTCTGGATGTAGTGGTGGTACCTGGACATGGCCTCCATGTAATGTAATGTAATTTTAAATATTAACCCCAAATTTATAAATTAACCGAAATTTATAAAATATTTTAAAATTTAAACATAAACGGAAAATTTGTTTGCTAACGGCAGTGTTTTGAATTTAAAAAAAAATGAAAGTTAAGTTAAAAACCAATTAACGGCCATATGGTTGAGTCCAGGCTAAACGAAACTTTGTCCACTTTGGACACTTTGTAATTCCCAATTGGTTATAGCAGAAAAGTTGTGACTAGGCCGCTGCTGGCCGGTGAAATCAGTCAAGTCATTTTTGTGTGTGTGTGTTTGTGATCTTTCAGTGCTTCCAAGTGGTCCCATGGTGCGCACCATCATATTGGTGGTACCTGGACATGGCCTCCATGGAGGCAGCAGTGCATCATGGATATCTTTGGGAATCCATATTCTGGACTCTGGATGTAGTGGTGGTACCTGGACATGGCCTCCATGGAGGCAGCAGTGCATCATGGATTTCTTTGGTAATCCACATTCTGGACTCTGGCTGTGGTAGTGTCATCTGGACATGGCCTCCATGTAATGTAATGTAATTTTAAATATTAACCCCAAATTTATAAATTAACCGAAATTTATAAAATATTTTAAAATTTAAACATAAACGGAAAATTTGTTTGCTAACGGCAGTGTTTTGAATTTAAAAAAAAATGAAAGTTAAGTTAAAAACCAATTAACGGCCATATGGTTGAGTCCAGGCTAAACGAAACTTTGTCCACTTTGGACACTTTGTAATTCCCAATTGGTTATAGCAGAAAAGTTGTGACTAGGCCGCTGCTGGCCGGTGAAATCAGTCAAGTCATTTTTGTGTGTGTGTGTTTGTGATCTTTCAGTGCTTCCAAGTGGTCCCATGGTGCGCACCATCATATTGGTGGTACCTGGACATGGCCTCCATGGAGGCAGCAGTGCATCATGGATTTCTTTGGGAATCCATATTCTGGACTCTGGATGTAGTGGTGGTACCTGGACATGGCCTCCATGGAGGCAGCAGTGCATCATGGATTTCTTTGGTAATCCACATTCTGGACTCTGGCTGTGGTAGTGTCATCTGGACATGGCCTCCATGGAGGCAGCAGTGCATCATGGATTTCTTTGGGAATCCATACTCTGGACTCTGGCTGTGGTAGTGTCATCTGGACATGGCCTCCATGGAGGCAGCAGTGCATCATGGATTTCTTTGGGAATCCATACTCTGGACTCTGGCTGTGGTAGTGTCATATGGACATGATCTCCATGGAGGCAGCAGTGCATCATGGATTTCTTTGGGAATCCATACTCTGGACTCTGGCTGTGGTAGTGTCATATGGACATGATCTCCATGGAGGCAGCAGTGCATCATGGATTTCTTTGGGAATCCATACTCTGGACTCTGGACTCTGGATTTAGTGGTGGTACCTGGACATGGCCTCCATGGAGGCAGCAGTGCATCATGGATTTCTTTGGTAATCCATATTCTGGACTCTGGCGGTGTTAGTGTCATCTGGACATGGCCTCCATGGAGGCAGCAGTGCATCATGGATTTCTTTGGTAATCCACATTCTGGACTCTGGCTGTGGTAGTGTCACCTGGACATGGCCTCCATGGAGGCAGCAGTGCATCATGGATTTCTTTGGGAATCCATATTCTGGACGCTGGATGTAGTGGTGGTACCTGGACATGGCCTCCAGGGAGGCAGCAGTGCATCATTAATTTTTTTTGGGAATCCATATTCTGGCCTCTAGATGTAGTGGTGGTACCTGGACATGGCCTCCATGGAGGCAGGAATGCATCATGGATTTTTTTTGGGAATCCATATTCTGGTCTCTAGATGTAGTGGGGGTACCTGGACATGGCCTCCATGGAGGCAGGAATGCATCATGGATTTTTTTGGGAATCCATATTCTGGACTCTGGATGTAGTGGTGGTACCTGGACATGGCCTCCATGGAGGCAGCAGTGCATCATGGATTTTTTTGGGAATCCATATTCTGGACTCTGGATGTGGTAGTGTCACCTGGACATGGCCTCCATGGAGGAAGCAGTGCATCATTAATTTTTTTTGGGAATCCATATTCTGGCCTCTAGATGTAGTGGTGGTACCTGGACATGGCCTCCATGGAGGCAGGAATGCATCATGGATTTTTTTGGGAATCCATATTCTGGACTCTGGATGTAGTGGTGGTACCTGGACATGGCCTCCATGGAGGAAGCAGTGCATCATAATTTTTTTGGAATCCATATTCTGGCCTCTAGATGTAGTAATGGTACCTGGACATGGCCTCCATGGAGGCAGCAGTGCACCATGGGTTTTTTTGGGAATCCATATTCTGGACTCTGGATGTAGTGGTGGTACCTGGACATGGCCTCCATTGAGGCAGCAGTGCATATTGGATTTTTTTTTTAGTTATCCATATTCTGGGCTTTTGATGCTGCCTACTATACCATTACTGGCGGAAATTCAAGGTATGTGTCAAGCTTTTCTATATATATTTATTGCAAAAGACGAGGGGCATATTTGGCCCATGATCCGCAGAATTTGCAACAGCTTGCATGCCACACATGCAGTGTGTATTATTTAAGAATAAGTTAAGTTAAGCTTGCCCGGCTGGGATCACTGCCAGATCCCGTCCATTGGCCCTGGAGATCAGGTACTGCTCTGGCTTGGTTTTTTTCGTTTATGGACTCCCGCCACTTCGGACTTATGAAACACTTCACATGGAGATACAGCCAGGTTTTAATCACTCCCAGTTCCAGTTCCAATACATCGGTAATAGAGACCAGGAACTCCTCCTCTCGTTTGTGGACAAATGTGCCCCCTTTCCCAATCTTCGTGTTATGCCAAAAACCATTTTGTAAATTCAAAAATCGTTCTTTTGTTTTATCTACAAATGGAAATGTATCCTCTTACGCCAGGTATAAGTGTGTAAGTAACATTTTTTTAGTCTTAATCTCGTTTACTTGTAAATTTTAAACCTTTTCAATTCTAAATACCAGAAGAACAGAAATGACAGAAGGCAAGTGAAGCGAATCTATGTCAAATTCCAAACACAAATTTTTTTCTTTTGTTTTTATTATTCATGTATTTAAAACTATATTAAATCTAGTAAACAATACTAAATCTAAAAGATTTCTTTAGGAGTACTAGCTGCTGGGCCCCACGACTCCTTGATTGTTTTTTGTTTAGTCGTTTACTTATTATTTTAAAAATTTCGTATGTGTCGCAGGATGTCGATTTTTGTCTGCAGGCGACGCAGTAATAGCTGCCGGAGGAATGGGATGATGAACTCCAGGATGATCCCGCGTTTGTGACAGGACTGGGTGCTTTAGGTTTACTGGTCTGCGCCTTTCGACCTTAAACCCCCTCGACAATGCTGGTGTACTTACCATCAAGTTTGGCGTAGACTAAGCTGCACAAGAAATGGGTGCAGATCCAAAACAAATCTCCCCGCTTTGAAAATTAGTTTATTAACTTGACCAATACGAACTTTGTCATATCTGACTAAAAGAGTCTACAACTGAAGGCGATCAAATCGTAATTGGTAATTATACCCAAAATAATACTGAGTAAGCTCAACCATAAAGTAGATTAGCTTCTTAACTTTGACATTTTATAGTCGATATATAGCTTAATCTGAAGAAAACCCAACCTATTTTCTACGTCTATAAGTTAACAGATAAGGCTTAAGCTAATGGCCAAAAAAAATCCATGGAAATCGGCTTTTTAACGCCCAAATTTAAAAAATTCATTGAAAATTAAGTTTCGAATGTTAACAGGCAGTTGACGACTATGTGAGTTAATTCCAAGTTAACCGTGTGCAATCCGCGGATCTTGTAATTCCCAACACGTTCTAGCAGAAATGTTGTGACTAGGGCGCTGCTGCGGTGAAAAATCTGTGAAGTCATTTTTGTGTGTGTGTGTGTTTGTGTTTTTTTTAGTGCCTTCAAGTGCTTCCAAGTGCCTTCAAGTGCTTCCAAGTGCCTTCAAGTAGTCCACTGGTACTCACCATCACATTGGTGGTACATGGACTTGGCCTCCATGGACGATGCAGTGCATCATGGATTTTTTTTTGGAAAATCAGTCAAGTCATTTTGTGTGTGTTTGTGTTCTTTCAGTGCTTCCAAGTGCCTTCAAGTGGTCCACTGGTACTCACCATCACATTGGTGGTACATAGACTTGGCCTCCATGGACGATGCAGTGCATCATGGATTTTTTTTGGAAATCCATATTCTGGACTTCTGGTGACGTGTGATGCTGGATATAAATGACGATGCCTACTATACCATTACTGGACTTCGGCAAGCCGGAAACTCAAGGTAGGTGACAAACTTTATAATATATGTTTATTGCAGCTTGGATCCAACGGTAATAGAGACCAATCTAGTATACAATACTAAATCTAATAGATTTCTTAAGGAGTACTAACTCTGGGTCCTACGGCTCCTTGTTTGTTTTTATTTTAGTCGCTTACTTGTTATTTTGACAATTTCGTATGTGTCGCAGGATGTCGATTTTTGTCAACCGCAACTCCCTTTTGCAGGTGTCGCAGTAATAGCTGTCGGAGGAATGGGATGATGATCTCCTGGATGATCCCGCGGTCGTAACTGGACTGGGCGCTTTAGGTTTATTGGCCTGCGCGTTTCGACCTTTGCATTTGGGTCGGTGTACCAACTGTTCCAGCACATCAAACTCCTCCAGCTCGAAATCACATCGCGTACAGTGCCATGGCTCTGCCCTAAGTACTGCATCCATGGCCATTGTCCATTGCTGTTCCGCCAAGCAGTCATACACCACGTGCTCGGATATGTTAAGTCCACCCTTTTCATTGTTAGCAGTCATGGGATAATCCACATCGAAGGGATTCTCTTTGAGCTCTGTAAGTCTCGCAGAAGGCTCCTGGTGTGTGTAGAGCCTTTTGATATCGGCGGGAAGCAACCGACGAATCGCATATGCCACGTCAAGAGACATGAAGGCGAGAAGCTCATGCCAAAGCGAGCAGCTTCCATCGCTCTCACCTGAAGGGACTTCTTGTCCTTTATTGAGATCTGCGAATAAAAAAAATACATGATGATTATGAGCTAAAAATAATTATTATTATTATGAGCTACAAAAAAGTGGTTCATATTATATTTGTAATAAATTCTCACAATAAAAGAGTCATCCGAGGAGCCCCCGACAATGCGGGTGTACTTACCATCAAGTTTGGCGTAGAGCAACCTGCTCCAACGTCGGCGCAACTCGACGGCGCGGCTAAGCAGTTCCATTCCACTGCCGGGCATCGGAAGGTCCAGACCAAGCCAGCCATCGCAAACAATCTGTGTAATTCCCGCGTTCGTGTCGATGGCAAAGCTAAAGAGCAGCAGAGTCTGCGCTGCCGGCAAACGGATGCAGTTTATTAGATAGGGTTTGGCGGTCTCAAGCAGCGACCTGTCGATCAATTAGATTAGTTTTGGGCTACAATTACATACATACTCTCTTACTGATAGCACAGTAACTGATGGCGTTCGCTGATCGGATGCTTGGGCGTGTAAAAGTCTGGCTTGGGTAGCAGATCGCTGTCCGCCAGTTTGAGCAGTTCGAAATGCTTGGCGAAGTGGGAGTTGGGGTGTTGCAGAATGAAAGGCTTGAGGCGCGTGTGAAAGAACTGCTGTCCACCGCCTTTACAGTAATTAAACTCGTCGCTTATAGCCAACTGCGGGTAAAATCCGCTGCCGAGCAATAGCTTTAGCAATACAACGTCGCGATGGCGATCGAGGCGTGCTGAACGCTCCAGAAGTGCTAGCTGGCGAGGATCAAACCTGAGGCGGAAATCCACATCTCGCATATCGTCGCCTTGCTCCTCATCTCGCTCTTCTTCATCTTCCGGCGCCCTACCGCCGCTTTGCTTGAGCAACTTGCGCTGGCGAGGCTGCTCAAATCGTTGGCGGCGCTTCATTGCTTTTAACTGGCGCAGCTCGCCATGCCTCGTGGCCCGCTCGGCGCTTGTTAACTGAGAACTGCTAGCCACTACCATACCACAGCTCTCCAGGATGCGTTGAAACTGTTGACGCAGCTTGGTCACCTCGTAGAATCGCTGTTCCTCGATGCCCAAGCGACGACACCACTGGCGAGTGCCTTCGCGCCTCATCTTGAGCTGTAGCCACTCGCGATACAGACGCACCAGGGTGAATAAGTCCCCCTGATCGGACTCCAGTGACTCGCGTTCACGCACGCAGCGCTGATCCGAGTGGGCACGGTTTGTCAGTGGATTCTGGACACTGAGCATGGCAGCCATGGTCAACAACTGCTCCACCTCCGGAAATACACAACCCAAAAGCAACATCTTTCCAATGGACAGCTCCACAGGCAGGTTGGCCAACGAGCTACCCAGCGGAGTAATCTTCTCCTCTACGCTAAGAGCGCCCTAAAAAAATATGTCCATAAATTTGTGAAACCTAATCACTATAAATATTTCTGAAAATGCGTACGTGTTGCTTTAGAGCCAGAATAGTCTGCTCTATTCTTTCCGTTTCTGGGGCCTCTATAAAAGGAAAGACCCTGACGTCGGGCAGTCCCATTGACACCATCTGCAGCAACATTGTGTCCAGCGGTACGCGGTAGATTTCTGGTGTGGGATAGGCCTCAAATGCGTTGAACTGATCCGTGGTGTAAAGGCGGAAGCAAACCTGTGTAAGAGTGAGAAGCCATGAAGAAGTGAATACATAGGCTAGCGTCTTTGCTTACACCTGGTCCTGTGCGCCCAGCACGACCCTTGCGTTGCTCGGCCGACGACTTGGACACCCAAAACTCCTTCAGGCGCTGACCCTTACATGTGGCATCGTAACTCATTTCTTTGACTTTGCCAGAGTCCACCACGAAACGCACGCCGTCCACAGTCAGCGACGTTTCAGCGATATTAGTGGATACGATGCATTTCCGCGAACCCTCAGGAGCATAGTCAAATACCTTACCTTGCTCTGCGATCGCCTGACCACTGTGCAGAGGTAGCACGAGCCAATGCGATTGCTCAGTGGCATACTCTTGGACGGCCTCAACAACCGATTCGATTTCATTCACGCCGCTCAAAAAGATAAGCACGTCACCTCGCTCGCTGGCTGGGTTAGATAGTAAAAGTCGACTTATGGATAGACGGAATGGTTGGACTCACTTGGATACTGCTGGTCAATAAGGCTTAGCACCTGAACAAATGGAGCCGGGTCGATTCGGTTACCCTGAGATCTCCTGGATGAAGCCGTCGCCTGGCCTGCCTTAAGCTCCAGAGCTGGTGGCGGTAGGTAGCGCAGCTTTATTGGAAACAAACGTCCCGGAACCTGCACTAGCCGCGCACCCTCTTCCCGGAAGTAGTTGTGAAAGAGCTCCACGTTGATGGTGGCCGACATAAGAATTAGCTTTAACTGCGGTCGCGCTCGCAGCAAGCATTTTGTAACGCCTAGCAAGAAGTCACCAAACAGATTACGTTCATGAATCTCGTCCAGGATAAGGGCGTCGTACTGATCTAGGTTGGCGGCTACCGCCAATTGGCGAAGCAACAGGCCCTCGGTGATAAACAGTATGTTGGTACTCTGCGTCCGGCTGCGCTCGAAACGGATTTGAAAGGCCACCCGACTGCCGTAGTCGTCCAGGAGCTCATGGGCCACGCGCTTACATAGGGACACACAGGCCAAACGACGTGGCTGGGTGCAGGCTTGGGCATTCAACAATTAGGGAATTTACTTAAATAAAGACTCTGGGACTTACCAATGCTGCGATATCCAAAGTCGTAGAGGAACTGGGGCACCTGTGTAGACTTGCCGCAACCCGTGTCGCCAGCCACGATGACTACGCGCGACGTGTCCACTGCCTCGCGCAAATCTTGCCGAAAGCGAGCAATGGGCAGGTTACGCTGTGCCTGACGCAGCTTTCGGATGCGCTGGAACTTTTCTGCCTGGCGGAAATCAAGGTAGACGAGTAGAAGATGTCGAAACTGCGACTGCATCTCGCTCTGTCCCTGTTGGAGCATTTCATCTGTGTCCAATCGCAACGCCAAGTGTTTACTGCGATGATATGGCTGGGAACTGATCAATTGCAGTTCGGTGAGCAGGGGAGGTAGCACGGGCTGCCCTGTGGAGCGCATCATAGCCTCGTACTTGTACACAAACTTCCAAAAATCGGCTTCGTTCTCCACCAGACTCTTAGCCGTCTGGCGGCTCTTGGCCTGCAAAAGGAAACTTAACCCTGCCTTGCGGTCCAGAAAGCTGAAATCGACCAGGTTGAGCTGTTCCTTCTGACGGGCAGAGTCATGATTACTGGCCATATAAAATTCCCTTGATTTCCGAGACATTTTCACTGGAGCACATTAGCTTCTGAAATTTTTATTTACCAACTTATCCCGGCAGCGTCCAATATTAGAGCTATCGATAGCCCGCTCAGCTGTGAAGCCCAAACCGATAACATTGCAAAGATATGGGAAGTGAACAACTAAGATGGTTTATTTCCCTAAATTTCTAACAGGAGGAGCCGCTACCACATAGCACGCTGCACGCCGGACAGCTTGTTGTAGTCGGCAAGGTGGCGCCAAACGATTCGGCTAAGCCGGTACTTGTGGACGACGCCGCGCGGCCGTGACGTAAGCGCACACCGTTCCCGTACCCGGACAAGCGATGAGTCCCGTGGAAAAGCAGCAATCTCAGCGTCGGCTACCTCACGCAGTTCCTGAGGCAGAATGTCATTCTTTCGCAAAGAGTTGACCCGCAGTCGTTCTACCGCGTTCTCCCGGACGCACTTGCGTCGCTTGACATCACGTATCATCTTCCAATCGGCGTATTTGGTTCGCACCTGCTGCAGCTGTTTGGGGGGGCGGGCATATAATGGATATAAGCTTGTTCTTGTTTAGATTATTTTGTTTACTTACACCACAGCCAGCGATCTGTACGGATTGGCACACAAAGCCCCCGATCCTGGCCAGAGAATTCATGTTGCTGTTGTTGCCGGTGCTCTTTGTCACATTAATGGTTACTCTATCGAGTCGAATAACTATCGCAAATGGTTATCGATAGGACACAGCTGATTTGTCCCTAGTAAATGGCAAATATATTTACGAATCTTTTAAAAATACATTTAATCACCTTTTTCAATGAGGTGATGTAGCAGAGCAAGCGAGGTGAAATTTTTCATTGAAATAAATTGATCGTCTGCTTGCCATTGACGCACCCGAATAAGTTTTAATTAATGATTCAGTCGCTTTACATAACCGCGAAATAGGGCGATTCGAACCAAGCGCTTTCACGACCATTCACAACGCTGCATGAGACATTTGTCATTCGCAGCGAAACGCGAAAAGGCTCATGTCTGTGTGCGTGCGCGAGTGCGTGCATGTGTAAGTTTTGGTTCTTGGTGTGTGTGTGGCTGTTTCACGTCGAGTTAGAAATTTGCTCGTGCCCGCAGTTCGCCGTTCGCCGTTTTCGCCTTGTGTGGTGTGTCTACTAAATACCGTGCCAATCGAATCTAGCTCCCCGAATCCGAGCAGAAGTAGCAGCCGTAGCATATCAGCCCGCTGTTCCGCAGATCCCGCAGTCCGGTACAATTCACGGCCAGGCGAAAACCCAGTCCCCAGTCAGCAGCTGAGGAAGAACAAGAACGAAGAAGAGGAAGAGAGGAGCAGCCGCAGCCTTGCAGAGATGCCTTCCAGCGATCCCCTGCCGCCCAAGGAGGGTGCGCTCTTCCGCAAGCTACTTGTAAGGCGGTCCAGGTGACCTTGTTGTCCCATTTAAACTCCTTGCCTCCTCCTTAAAAGCAACCCTCCGAACAACCCCCTTGACCCTGCTTTTGGCCGGCTTCGGCATCCATGTGCTTTTTCGCCCAAAGGCAGGTGGAGTGCCTATTTTTGGCAAAAGCAAAATAGAGGCAGCACCTACGGTGTCCGGGATGTAGGGCTCCTCAGGTCGGCTACCGGTCGTAGTCCACCTTCATTAGCTGTGTACCGCTCGATGGTCGCATAACCTCAAAATCAACACTGGGCGGGATGTGAAAAACACTGACTTAATGATGTATTTAAACTATTATTATCTGTTCTATTGCCCAAACAGAAATGCTACGAACTGAAGCAGTACAAAAATGGCCTCAAACTGGCCAAGCAGATCCTCTCCAACCCCAAGTATACGGAGCATGGCGAGACGCTTGCCATGAAGGGACTTACCCTGAACGGCCTGGGGCGCCGTGAGGAGGCCTACAAGTATGTGCGTCTAGGACTGCGCAACGACCTGCGCTCCCACGTCTGTTGGCATGTGTATGGACTGCTCCAGCGCAGCGACAAGAAGTACGATGAGGCAATCAAGTGCTACCGCAATGCGCTTAAGTGGGAGAAGGACAACCTGCAGATCCTCAAGGATCTGTCTCTTCTGCAGATCCAGATGCGTGACCTTGAAGGGTACAAGGAGACGCGCCACCACCTGTTCACGTTGCGTCCCTCGCAGCACGCCTCTTGGATCGGTTTCGCAATGAGCTACCATCTGCTGCGGGACTACGACATGGCCAACAGCATACTAGAGACGTTTAGCCAGTCGCAGAACTCAATCGTATGTATCTGACTCTCCTACTAGTCTATCGTATAATCCAATTTATCAATCCTTTTCTCATTTCATTTACGTTTCCGCTAACGAGTAGGAGGCGCATGACTACCGCCACTCGGAGCTGCTGCTCTACCAGAACCAGATTCTCATCGAGTCGGAGCGCCTTCAGCAGGCCGTGGATCACCTGACCAAGTACCAGGCCCAGATCGTTGATAAGCTGGCTGTTCGCGAGACCATGGGTGACCTGTACATCAAGCTGCAGCAGCAGGAGAAGGCAGTGCCCATCTTTGAGTCCCTTATCCGACGTAATCCGGAAAATGTGCTCTACTACGAGCAGTACATGGCCGCCCGCCAGGTGACCGATCCCAGTGCCGTAGTTTCAATCTATCGCGTGTTCCAAGAGCAGTATCCGCGAGCTCTTTGCCCCCGCCGCCTGCCTCTGGACATCGCCACTGGCGCCGAATTTCGCGTAGTAGCCGACGAGTACCTGCGCCGCGGTCTGCGTAAGGGTATCCCGCCGCTCTTTGTTAATGTGCGTACTTTGCACAAGATTCCGGAGAAGGAAGATACCATCGAGGAGCTCACGCTTCAGTATTTCGAGAACCTAACTCGTTCCGGCCACTTCTCTCGCGAGGACGCTGACGCTGGAGTTCCTGTCGAGCCGGCCTCAGCGCTGGTGTGGACGGCACTGTTTCTCGCGCAGCTCTATGACTACAAGCGTGATACGGATCGTGCCCTTGAGTACATTAATGTAGCAATCGAACATACACCAACACTAATAGAATTGCTCATAACTAAGGGACGTATTTATAAGCATGCCGGTGATCCCGTGGAGGCGTACGTTTGGCTGGAAGAAGCGCAGAGCATGGATACAGCCGATCGGTAAGCTTCGCTTTGGTAAAACCATTAAATAAACTCACTAAGTGTAACCATCGTTCTGCTTTCCTTCAGGTACATCAATTCTAAGTGCGCCAAATACATGTTGCGTGGAAACATGGTGCAAGAGGCAGAAGAGATCTGCGCAAAATTCACTCGTGAGGGCGTCTCCGCCATGGATAACTTGAACGAGATGCAGTGTATGTGGTTCCAGACGGAGTGTGCCCTGGCCTATAAGCGCATGGGCCGCTGGGGCGAGTCACTGAAGAAGTGTCACGAGGTGGAGCGCCACTTCGCCGAAATCGTTGAGGACCAGTTCGATTTTCACACCTACTGCATGCGTAAAATGACGCTGCGCGCCTATGTTGGCCTGCTGCGACTCGAGGACGTTCTGCGTCAGCATCCCTTCTACTTTAAGGCTGCCAAGTGCGCCATTGAGGTGTACATTCGTCTGTACGATAAGCCCCTCAAATCAGAGGCGACCATTGAAGAGATCGACATTGGTATGTTAGACTGTTAATCGTGTGTTTGCTCGTTCAAACTGCTCAATTCCATTCTTGATCCATTCCTTCTTCGTAGAAAACCTGCCACCTTCGGAATTGAAGAAGCTACGCAGCAAACAGCGCAAGGCCAAGAAGAAAGCTGAGCTGGAGAGTGCGCAGGCCGCACAGGCGCAGGTAAAGCGCGAACAGCATCAAAAGTCGAAGCAGCAGGCGAACCAGGAGACCGACCCCGATGCTCCACAGTTGGACGAGCTGGTGGCTGAGAAACTAGAGCGCACGGACGATCCACTGGAGAAGGCCATCGACTTCCTAAAGCCGCTACAACAGCTGGCAAATAATCGTATCGAGACGCACCTGCTGGCCTTCGAGGTGTTCTACCGCAAGAACAAGCTGCTTCTCATGCTGCAGTGCATCCGACGCGCTCGCGCCTTGAACCCTGCGCATCCCGAGGTCCACAGTTGCATTATACGTTTTGTGAAGTCGTTGACTATCGCCGCTAAGCAGCAGTCGTTCAATGAGCACGTACAGCAGGTGCTAGACAAGGCCACCAAAGAACTGATAGGCAGCAAGACGCCCCAGCAGCTCAACGACGAGTTCATTGCCAAACACAACGCTTCCATACTGCATTTATACGAGGGCGCACGCAGTCTGTACGAGCTAGACAATAGTAAAAAGGCTGCCGCTATTAAGCTGGTCACTAACTTTAATATGGCCAAGCTCAGATTAGAGGTAAGTGGCTACCAACAAAATCAAAGAGTTCCCTATTCACCCTTACAATTTAAATTGCATTCCACAGGAGGCGACCAAAATCTACACAGCGTTGCGGGACGGCGATGTGTTTGGGGAATGCGAGACAGAGGCGGCTCTTTACCAGCAGGCGTGCCATGAACGCTTCCAATACGCCCGTATATTTCGGAATGTAGAGGAACTGGAGGCACAGCTGCAGGAAAAGGAGGCAGCCAAGCTGCGCGCGGAGGAGGAACAGCAGCAATTGATTCACGTTGATTCTAGTGAACCGGTGCCAGTTTTGGCCACGGCAGCGGCAGTGTCTTAGGACCAAACAAGACTGCTACAAAATACCCGCAACCGCAAAAATAGTAACAGCAACAACAACAACAACAACAAACAGATCTGCGGCAAACAACAATAACGAGAAGCGAACCTAACTAACAACAAACAATATGAACAGGAATAAGCTTAGCTCTATAAACAACGGCAACCACAATAAAATTCACTATTAACAACAACAACCAACTAAATGCTATGACGACGAAGCTAAGCTAATCTAAGCAAAGCTATGTTTCTCTAATCGGATCTGATCTGTAGCGGTTGGCTAAGCGGTGTGCCTTTTCGTGTGGTTACCACCGATTCCACCTGAGATCACATCCCTTCATACATCCTCAAGTCAGATCTGCACGCGCAGCCTCCCAATATAGTTTCGGAAAATTAAAAGTCGGAGTAGGAACTATTCACCAGATATATGTGGGAGTCGAAAAAATCTAGATTCTGGCTACGCGACTATATAAAACTATCCAAGTTGAAACTGTTTTAGGATTTTTGAAATTGAATCAAATGGAACCTTTTGTTGACAACAATTGATGGCTTTTTTTAATAACATTTAATTTTTTTTATTATTTTTAACGAATGCATTGTATGTACATATATAAAGTCGTAATTAATTATACGCAAATCAAAACTTTAATTCATAAAGAAAGACAAGTCTTATAATTCTAAATTCTAGATTCCAATAATTGCCTATAACCAAATGAAGAACATTGAGCACCATCAAAATGACATTTAAAAAAATGCTACCTTTACAGAGTTCAAGCTGATATTGTTTAAGTATATTTGTGCTTCTTCTTCTAGCTACATACATATTTAATTTGCAATCCAAATTGCATTCTCACAATTGTGTCTCAAGTAATACCATAATTAAAAGCATAATAATTTAAAATGTTTTGTATTCTAACTCCGCCCAGATATGTACACATATATATTTCTGACCAGCATCAGGAGAAAGTGAAGTCTGGGGACTCTATCCCATCATTTTTATAGGAACTATACATATGTCAAAATCCCTATATTGACCAAAAAATCTTGAATATAACTGCAAGCTTGCGTGTTGCTATAAATAAGCTTAATTTCTTATATTTTTTATTAATAATTAAATCTTAAGCAAGAATTTCCCATTCTTGGGATATTCATAATTTTAAATTCGGTTTGCGGCTAAGCAGAAGTCAACTTTCTTTAAAAGGCAGTTGAAACTTGACGGCTGCTTTGGCCATGGTCTTGGCTTCGACTGCGACTGCCATTAAGCTCAGGGCTCCTGCGCGTGTGGCTGTAATGGTTTGAAAAAGGTTTCGGAAATCTTCGTCTTCATGGTGATTGGGACCGAATCTGTCCCTGATGCAGTCAAGTACCGTCCAACGCTTTCCCATTTCGCTCCTCCAAGACTTTCGCTGACTGCCGACTTATTCTGCTGCACCTGTGAGTGCGGCTGTAATTGCTTCAGCGGTTTCGAAATGTCGGGTTCACCTGTCTTGAAGAACCTTTCTGAAATTTCCTTCTTCATGGTGATTGCCACCGAATCTGTCCCTGATGCAGTCAAGTACCGTCCAACGCTTTCCCATTTTACTTTTCCAAGACTTTCACCTTTGTCTAAAGAAAACAAACCTTTCATGTTTACGGTTAAAGTTAAATTGTAAGAATTTGGCAACACACGTAAAAGGTTGCAATCGTATATTTTAATTTGGCCTATCGATATCATCAATCAATTTAAACTGCACATGCGTCAATGCATGAGGTCCTTTTTCCGCAAAGATTAACTTTGACTTAATAATAATCGTGTTAGGGGAATGCATTCTAAAATTTAAGAATGTGTCCAGCTTTATTTAGAAAAACGCTGATTCAACACTATCTCTAATATAGAACAAGTTCCTTTTTAATATAATTAATGTACACGATGGACACTTAAACATCCAATAATAAACTAATATAAAGGTGTTGATTTTTCACAGGTGGTCCTTTGGACTGAGGGACTTTTGTAATGGAATTAAATATAAAAAGTAAAAGAAAAAGGTGGTGTTTATTACAAGAAAATAAAATATGAGTCAGTCTCATTTCAGTATTCACATAATCCACAATTTGTTTTAAAAAATGTAGTCAAAAGGACGCGGCTATTTTAAGAGCCACGAACGGACTAGGAAATGAAAATTAGGAGGTTTTTAAATAACTTTTTGCTTTCTTAGCGCTAGGTGGGTATTCAACTTAATCAGAAAACACTTTCAGAATTTAAACAATGGGATTTATCTTTATCTGTCTTTTCGTCTTAGTGCATTATATAGTCCAAATCGAATTTGGCCCCAATTCGAGGCACTCGTTGTTTCCTTGGCTTGATCTGCAAAAAGACTAAATTGTATTATACAATATTTTTGGGTTAAGTTTTTGCTGTCACCTGTGATGAAGACGATGCTAGGGATTCATTCGTTCTGGTTGACAGGGACCCATCAGAATCGGTCTGTGATGTCGATGGCTGTTGGCCCGAAAATACATTATTTCGGCGGTAAAGGCATTGAATGGGCTTAACGCATGCTTACCTGAATACTAAGTGCTTGCATTAGTTCAACAGTCTGTTCGTTCGGTGATCTTTTCGGAAGACTGCAAGTGGAGTTTCTAACTGTGGTCTCATTTAACGATTGCTGCAACAGAAGGAAAAAACAAAGAATAACATAAAAAGACAAGTCTGCACATTTGTTTAGTTATTTTTTACTGCATTTAAATCCCGGCCTCCTGGCTGAGCACGGTTTGATTTCTTTGGACGATAAGCCTGTATAGGTACAAAATCTTGTATCGATGAATATCGAGTTGTCACATTGTTAGTCTCCGTCGGCGTCTGGAAGTTGGATTGATACAGTTGCTGCTGTTGTTGGTACGGTTGGTATGGCTGTCGGAATTGAGGAGGCATTCGCACGTTATTGTTGAAGGCAATCTGGTCAGCTATGGTGGAGCTCGCATGCGACTGATTTCCGTTGTTAAAGACAGAACGGGGTACGTCAGTGTGGTGCATTCGCTGCTGTTGCTGCCTCCTTTGATGACCACCTCCGGGATGGTGATCCATGTCCGCTCCCGACTGTGGGCTTCTGTACCACTGCTGGTTTTTGATACGATCAGTCTGCTGAGCTTGCACATGTTGTTGCTTCTGTGCCTCCTGCTGCCAAAAAAGCGGTGGCTTGGGCAGATTCTGTAATAGGGGGTGGTTGGATAGCTGGATTGGCGAAAAGTGAAATTTAGTTTCTTACAGGCATTTGTCCGGGAATTGGAGCTTGTTGCAGTTGTGTTGGACGTTGCTGCTGTATGGACTCTTGAGGTTGCGAAGAACCCTGGTCCTGGTTCTTTACGCCCAACAACGACATGAGCGCCAATGTCTGAGCCTGAGGAGTCGCTGTTGAGGTCGTAGTTTCGATCGTAGTTGCATTCACAATTGCAGTGGGAGCAGCATTAGCCGGATCGAGGGCAGAACTACCCCCTTGCTGGCGTGATGTATTCTTCCGCCAATTATTTGACGCCTGCTGCGACTTGCCCGATGAAGTACTGGGACGATCGCGCCAATTTGCCATCTGCTCCGGTGTCTGTTGCTGCTGAACTGGCTTTGACTTCTCCGGTTTGGTCTTTGAGTCACCGAGCGCCTTGACAAATCCGTCAGATACCTGTGACTTCATCGTGATCGGGACCCAATCCGAACCTGCTGCAGTTACATAACGACTACTGTTTGTCGATTGCGGCTTTTGTACATTCGTACGGACGTTTTCACCCGATGCCTTGTGTTTTTGGGAAGCACGCTCCGGCTGCACTATATCATTCTGTTTTTGTCCTTGCTCTGAATAGATAAGAGAATTCTGGCATAAGTCGAAGTCCTGATTAGCGCATAATATAAGTTCCGAGGGAAATACTTACCATTCGTATAGATGACAACCAGGGCGTTTTCGGGTACTTTGTAGACTCGGTCTTGAGCGATGCCGTGGATATCATTAAAATTTGGAACAGCCTTATCGAACAACACTTCACAAAAGGTGTCAACGGCATGAACGCATTCCAAGCGGACTGGGTTAGGATCTGTTACGGGATAAATTCCAATGACGGTACCCTTGATACCTACTGGTACCATGTAAATGCTGCGGACAACAATAACGCGGGCGAAGAGACGCACTGAACGACGGTATCGGTAGACATCTGGGAGTGTGACATTGGGCTTGACAAGTAAATGCGGTTTCACCTGCAGCTTTACCTCCTTGACAGGCAGACTACGTAGCTCATCAACCGCCGATATCAACAGCTCGACAGTCTCTCGGCAGACAGTCTTGGATCCGCACGAGATGCGTTCTACCTTCATGTGTGGTTGCTGTCGCACCCAGTTCGCCACATCCTCAATACGATGCTGGCCAATTGCATCCGGAAAAATATCCCCCTCAAAGACGTACTCGCATCGATCATTGCTGGAAGCAAAGAACGCAACTACCTCTGGGAAACGCTGACAATAATCGCGCATTAGTTCCACTGCCAGGCTAGAGTAGAACCATTGGTAACCGGAGCGGGAGCAATATCCCACGCGCTCCTCGTTTCCCCGTGGGAACTTTAGCTGCAAACCAATGTTGTGCTTGGCCACGTTCTCCATCTTCTCCCGTCGAGGACCGAGAACCACCCACATTGTGCCGGAGAGGCGACCCAAAGCCAGCCCGTTGATGTTAAGCGAATGGCACACTTCGTAAGTGTTCATTAAGTCTCGGTCGCGCTCTTCCTGCAATGCGCGTGCCTCCTGCACATCCGGTTCCGGACAGACCCGAATGCTTACTGAAGGATAGCGAGAAAAATGAGATGAGAAATGAGTGAGGTATTGATACGGTGATACCGACTTACCCTGAATGCGACCGCATGTGTAAGCGAGTAATGGGTCCTGAACAGTTCCCTCGCTACCATAATACGGGTTGCCGATGAAGAAGACCTGGCTGCCGGCGGGGAAGAATTCCTCTACCTTGTTAAATTGCTTACGCATATTCTCCTTTACAACCAGATCGGCCACCACACCCTGGGCGGGATAGGCGGTGACAGCCTCGCTCCACGCATCTCTCTCCATCAGTTTTCCTTTAGCTCCAAACTCCGTAGTGCTTCCAGAAAAAGTGCGCACATAGACGAGTACGTCGAAGTTGGCAAACTCAATTCCCATACGCGTTGTAAAGCTATAAAAAAAGAGTCAAAAAGAAGCATTAAAATTTAGATGACATATGTAAGATGCAGCTTCACACTCAACTGTTCTTTCAGCGTCTTGCACTCCGAGTCAAACCGTCTTGATTCATATGTCGATATACCCTCCTCGTCGACTCGCTGGTCTCGTGTTACCACGCGCACTACTTTAGCTTTGATGAGATGAGGCCAACCGATGTGCACCACCTGTTCCAGATATTGCCCAGCCACCGCTTCCAAGGTGTCCAGTTGCCGTTTACGGGGCTTCAGGACCATGCTTTGGTTACGGCTGGACTGTTCGAAAACTTTAACGCGATCCTGGCGAAGCTCAAACTGAAAATGGCGTACAACTAAAAAGCTGTCCTTAAAAGAAAACAATAGAAGTAACTTACGTCGAAAGGCAAATGCTTCATTGTCGGGAAGCCCGGGAAAAATACGTGTCTCGACGCATTTGGCAGTTCGGCGCACACACTATGTGGCAAGTTGATGGCGATCTCGCTTGACCACTTTGGAACCTCCATGCAGTACAGGTGCGTCAATGCCCGTAGAGGTGGGTGCGGAGCCATCGGTCCCTGGGACTCAATACAGTAATTGTACACGTACATGGGACCGTGTCGATTCCGTTCCTTCTCCGCCGCCGATAGCAGCGGCTCACATCGACTCATTGCAGCAATCAGCCGCTCTTCGTCGATAAAGGGAATCAGGGTCACCGCTTCCCAGTCGTGCTTCTTGCCATTAAGATCACTCTCGAACTCTAAAGGATAGAACTCAGCCAGTGGGCTGCTCGGAAGCAGCATTAGGTCGTGGTATGCAGTTGGAAGCAGTTTGCAACTGGACGACGGCAGCACCGCCAAAAGCTGTGTGAAAAAAGAAAAACAGGATTTCAGAATATCAGGTATGAGTGGAAATTATCAATTTTATAACTTTAAATTTTAGGATTTTGAACTAAAAGTAAAAAAAAAATGTATTAACCACTTTATCTTTGTTTAAAAAAAAAACATAATCTATTAATGTATTTTTTGTTAATTATGTCAACGATTTAGAGGGAGATAGATATATTCTGCGATTTTATGATGATTCAACTGATTCTGAGTATCAAATTATTATATCTTATATTTATTGAGTTATCCCGATTAATTATTCAAATATCAGGGAAAATCCCAATTCCTATGCGGGACAAAAATAATTAGAATGTAAATTATTTACGTTTAAGTACACATTGCTTAGTCTTTTAGGAATTTCAAAGCGCAACTCACCTGTTGGAATGGAAGGAATGGTTTGCCCAATTGGAAAGTAATCTGGACTTGCTCGATATTCTTGAGGTCACTGATGAAAGGAGCATAGTGGAAGGGATAGTACCAATCCCAGGACTGAACACCGCGATAGTAGTAATCGAGAATCCACTGCAGTGCGTTGACATAGTGATGTCCCAGTTCTTCGATCAGTTGGCTCTGCGATTCCCTCTTGAATTTGTTGCGGTAGTAGTTGCGCTTATAATTCTTGAACTCGCTAGCCAGGATCGCTTCCTCGTCGCTCCCGTTTTCATCGCTATCATCTTCATAAAGCTATGGATGTTAGTCGGGATTTAATAATTACAATCGATGGATTGAGAATATCTAAACTTCTTACCATCATGCTCTCATTAATGAGGGCTCCTAGATCGGAATCGTAGTTTTCATTGGCAGCAATCTCGGTGACGTCGATGTCAAATGCTTCCGTCTTAGCGTTCATATACTTTAGATCGTCGGCGTGCTCTTTGAACTGTTCAATCTCCACCTCTGTGAGGGCAGTCATAAAGATTTGCAAGCGCCGCAAGTTGAGCTTGCCGTTTTCGTTGATATTCCCACCAAGGGTAGGGTAAATACGGATATAGGTGCGGTATAAAAGGGGCAGAGCATTGGAGGAGATGTGGAGGCATGGCAAATGGGGGATGAAGTCATTGCCCACCATGAAGCCCATAAGAACCCAGTCATCAATGAGCTGCGCCACGTCCAACTTTCGCTCGGGTGTGCTCAAGGCGTCGAACTCTAGTTCCAGGTACTCTCGCAGCAGGCCTAGATGCAGCAGAAAAAAACGCGTCTCCTCCACCGAGGCTCGTTTTACGTTGCGACCGAATTTAACTTCCTCACGCAGCACCACAAAATGCAGCTCGTGAGTGCAGAGACCCAAGATAATTAGATCGGCGTCTAAGCCGTATAGGCAGTGTCTCGTGTTTGGGTCATAGTCTGGTTGCGCCTTCATGTACCGAATGCAGTCCATAATCTTGTGCTCGCCCTCGCCAGGCGTCTCCTGGCCGCTAAGAATCACGCTGCACCGCTGCCACAGCGGATCCGTGGAAATCTTCGTCTTGAGAAAAGCGCGCAGACCCTCTTGCAGCCGCACCATGAACTCGGTGCCCGGGGTGATACAGTTGCTGTCAAAGCGCTCGTGCTCCCGCTTCTCGCCACGCAGCGCCGCCTTTGTCTCCAACTGCTCCGCCTCCCGCGCCGACCGAAATCTCCGGCTTCGCTGCTGATTCATTTTGGCCCTAGGCGCCACACCATCAACGGCCAGGAAAAAGAGACGCTGCGGCTTGATCAGGTAGAATAGCTTGTCTACATAGTTAAATATCTCCTGGAATATCTGGTGCTCCTCGAGGTGAAAGTGTATGTTGTTGTCATCCGGATGCGAGCAGTTGTGAACGATACCGTTCATGTCAAGGTACAGATTATCGAACTCAGGAATCTGCAAACAAAGAACTTATCACATGACATGGCATTCGCCTCCACAGCCTCGTCCGCTTTACTTACGCTGTGCTCCCGCGCCAACTCGCTAAGGCACGGATAACGCTCGCTAATATAGCGGAAAAACTTCGGGACACCCATGTTGCTGCTTTGGGTTAGGGTGTTCTACCTCCGTGCAACTCCTCCTTGCTTACTGAATAATTTTGTCAACTACACTAGGTGTTCTGGCGGGGAAAGTTGTTATTTTTATGTGTATCAACTTGTATTGATTAAGACCTTATTTGCAAATAGTAGGCCAGGTGTTGCCACAAGGTTTGGCAATACTTTCGAACTTGTGGCAAGGCCAAGCGTTATTTTTTTTTTTTTTTTTGGTGAAACCCTGTGTAAAAAACCATATATTGCAAAAAAAAAAAAAAACAGAACACTAAAGCTATATTTGATTTTGCTACCATGTACCTGATAAATTAATTTTTTTTGCTTAATACTAATTATGGTTTGAACATTGTGCATATTTTCAAGATATTATATTTTTTGTTGGTTGTTTCGTTCTAAAGAACTTAAGCTCTCTTTAGAATTTACTTACCTTTTTTAAACTCGTTTAAAGCTAAATATTTCAGAGTATCGCTGGTTCTTTAACTGTTGCGATTGTAGTGAACTAGTTCCTTGTGGAGTTTAGCACTACCATTAACTCTTGGAAATGGACACACTGTTGCCAAAAATTAATAAAAACAAACAACTTGATCGGTCACACTAATCCCCTGTCGAACAGCTGTTTTCTCTACCGTAAAGCGCTTGTGTTCCAAATTTTACGTAATTCGTATTTTGAAGCCGTATATTGCGAGTATCGCATCCGCCTAGCGAAATGTCGGCCCTCCGCCAAGTGATGTGCAGGAGCTCTGCCTCTCTGCAGTTGTAAGTTTCTGAATATGACGGGAGCATTGCGTCTGCATTGCTAATTTATTTCCACTACTCAACCCCACGCAGGTACCAGGCCAACAAACTGGCCGCAACCCGCTGGGCATCCGCATCTTCTCAGGATGGTGGCCCACTGGACCTCAAGACCGCCCTGGCCCGTCCAGAGGAACTGGAGCAGCGCAACAAGCTCAGCGGTAAGATCACCGTGCCCACGGCCGTTAATCTTGGCCCAATCTCCGGCGTGCCAGATGAGCATCTAAAGGAGCGCCGTGTACGCATCCATATTCCCCCGAAGAACGCAATGCAAAGTGGCACGGACAACATCAACACCTGGCAGATTGAGTTCGACAACCGCGAACGCTGGGAGAATCCGCTCATGGGCTGGGCCTCCACGTAAGCAGCTGTGCACTCTGCTATCGGGTTAAATATGACCACATACCCTTTTTTCAGCGGCGACCCACTGTCCAACATGAACGTGCAGTTCGGATCTCAGGAGGAGGCTATCACATACTGCGAACGGAATGGATGGCGCTGGTACGTGGACGGCAGCGTCAAGCCCAAGAAGGAGCGAGTCAAGAATTACGGCATTAATTTTGCCTGGAACAAGCGCACGCGCGTCTCCACCAAGTAGGCCACCACAAAACTAGCCAGGATCATAGACATCTATTTTTTTTTTGTTTTTTGCTGTGTTTATTATCTGAATACCTAAATAAACAGTCGACTGGACTAGGAAGAATTCTAATGACCAGAACACTGGATTCGATGTATTTCTTTGTGATGGCACCTTCACCTATATTACTTTTAGAGGACTTCCAAATGTGTAGTATTCAGTCGAACCGACGCTTGTATCTATGACGGTGTTTTTCTGAACTGCTACTTCGACTTCGACGCCTCTTTCTGCTGTTACCTTGTTCCGTGGGTCGCTCCTTCTGCTTCTGGGGCCACTGCCTCTGCAGTGCCTCCATCTGCAGACTGACCAAATGCTGCAGCTCCTCATTAAGCGTTGGCTTACTCTTGCGGTAGCGGCGTTGCTTCTTCCACTCCCGTTTGGTCTCGCCCACCAGCTCGGCAAAGGCAGCGTTGTCTTCGAACTCTGGGTGCTTTTTGGTGTGCTTCAGAACGTGCTCGTAGATGAGAAGCTTTTCCTGCGTATCAAGGCCTGCCTGCAGATCATCAAAGGAGGAGGCTGTGGCACTAGGTTGACCTTCATCCCCTCCAATAATCTGCTGAATATCCTTGTCTTCGAGCTGAATACTAAAGGCGGGATTAGTACAGCAGGAAGCTGGCAGTTGCTCCAACATTTCGGTACTCTCATCAGCTTTGTCCTGTGGTATTTGGTCACCTGCTCCCCGTACTCCCTGCTCACTCCAATTTAGGCGTAACAGTAGCGCATTTAGGCGTCTCCTACTGTCGGCCACAAAAAGGCGCACCTGCTCTCGATCTAAGCCGGACATTATTTTATACCGAAACAGCAGAGAAAACTGGATGTGTTGTGAAAGCCCAAAATATCTGGCTAGTGCTGTATAACGCAGCGTGTATTTACAGTCCTTAATAGTTAGAAAAATCTACAATGCAACTTAGCCCCATGATATGAAAAAGGAGCTCAGCTCCAGAAAAGGACCGTAAACGCCATGACCAGACAGGCGGCTCCAACCCACGGCGACTTACGCTCCCCGATTCTCGCCAGCTTCCAGAAAGTTCCTAGGAATCTGAAAGTTTAGAAGGAATGGTTTATTTAGCCGGTTGGTTCGGATTGGATTTGGAGTACCCACCCGGTCTTGTTACGGTCTATGATGCTAGGAAAAAGGGAGCGAAGGTAGGCACAAGTGCATATCAGCAGCAGGATGACTGACAGCAAGCTCTGGAAGTTGAACAGGGCACTCTGTAGGGGAAAAGATGACGGGTTAGTCTCTGAATAAGTATCGGTCAGGTTTTCATTTCAAACCATGATTTTGCGAATCGGAATCCGTGTTTGGTGATAAAATAACAACAAACGGTAAACTAGTGACGTGCCATCAGCCCTGCCAAAAAGAACTAGTTCGAAGTCCACTGTATCCACTATACGATCAGTTCGATAACTTTTAGTCACCTATTGGAATAATTTTATTCCCTTAGTTCTTAAACAAATTAATATCTCTCTCTCTCTCTTTCAACTTGATAAAACTAAGCACAAAAACTTGGGGAGAATGTACGTGTTCATTTACGGAAATACTAAAAATCAATGTGACAAAGAACACCAACTCTTACTATAAAAATATTTTCGATACATATTCGATTTGGACGCTCTTTCTTAAAATCTCAAATTAATCTTATTGATTTTAAAAATGGAAACTTTTATGTTTAAAATATACACAGACGCCAATCTTTTTTAAAAATATGAAACTATTTCCAATGGAAACCGACTATAAGGTCAAGTGAATAATCGATTCACTTGGAAATCATCGTTATTGCCACATTTTCAACAATATCGATAGTATCGCATAAACATCGATTTTGTGTGCCAGCTCTAACAATTTGTCTGCAACTTCTAATTCGCTGCGGGTATTTTTTTTTTGTGTTTGTTGTTACATATAATCCGATCAATTTCGATCGTCCGTTTGGCAAATCAGTCTCTTGCTATTCTGATTGGAGAGCTTTTGGCCAAGTTTGGGCGAGCGTCAACAAAACGTTAAGGTTTGCTTCTTCGCCTGTGCTTTCGGGTTTTCCTTGCCCTTTTTTTTCATTTTTTTTGGTCCGTTTTCGTTTCGTTTTCCACTTGGAATCGCGAGGGGATGAAGGAAAGGGAGGAGGAGAGGAGACTCCCGACCGAGTGCATCCCCCGTGTGTACGTGAGTGTGTGTGATGGTGCTGCCAATGCAATTGTAGCTGAGCGCGCTCATAAAAATCAAAAGTATATTTAGATATACATGTATATATAATAATCGGATACGTTTTCTCATTGCCCCTGTGTCGGTGTATATGTGTGTGTATTTAAATCAGTAATATTGTGTGCGTGTGCCGAGCGCGCTGCGTTTTGTTGTTAAGTGCGAGTGAGAAAGCAGCCCGGAGAAATAGGGAGAGAAACAAAAACTGCAATAGCAACAAAAACAACAACATTCAGTAATAGTAGTAGCAGCAGTGGCGATGACTTCCATTCGCTGTACTGGCAAATCGGTAAGTTCTTAACTGGAAGCTAAGTAAATAAGCTAAGCTAAGTTCCGCGATTCCTTGCATGTGTATTTATGTAAGTAAAACACACACACATACACTTGTGTCTATCGTTGACGTCGGGACTTACAGCGCTGTTAGCTGTTAACAGCACAGTAACGGACATTCGCGTAGGTCCAAATCAAAGTTATCGGTAGTGGAGTGCAAGTGAAACGTGTTTAAAAGTTAATCCCACCCTAACGAAAAAAGGCAAGTCAAACAAATTAAGGTACTGCAGAATAAATCGCACCTCAAGCGAAGATGAGTTGCATTTTTAAACCATCTTTTTCATGACACATTCACCGACGGACACCCCGCAAACACCAAAACACCACGCACATGCGCAGAGCGGGACACCAACACTAGTGAAAATAAGTCGCGCTCTAGTGTGCGCTCTTTATTTTTGTTTTTAGTTTGGCTCCACTCTGCCTTCTATATTCATCGGGTGCAATTATTGTTATCGGTTTCTCTTCCACCAAAGTCGGTAATCGCTGCGTGTGCCTCGATTTTAAAAACGGTAAAATATTTTGTTTTGGTGTTTATTGCTGGATTCTGTTTTGCTTTTTTTTTTGCTTGCTTTTGTAGCAGTTGATGAATGAGGGAGCATTTACGCAATTGTTTTGTGATTTTTCTGGTGTACATTGAAAGATTCTCTTTGTGGCTTTGCCATCTCCCTCGCTCTCTCACGCTGGCCGGTGGAATACACACACACACAAACTAGCGCACATACACTGTAACAGAGGCCGCCATTGCTCTGCTGCGCAGCTTTTACAGTGTTGCATTCTGGCGCGCAGTGTTCTTGTTGTTGTCATGGAAGCTTTTTTGTCTCTTGTTTTGTGCACCTCATTCGTTCAGATGTTTTTGCTATTCCGTTATCGTTCTTGATACTCTATCCGATAGGTAGAAACTATCGGGTTTAGGGTTTCCTCCTGAACTAACTTTTGCAGGTTGATGCCAAGTTTTAAATTAATTGTTTTATAGTAGAAATATTAATTACAAGGGGCTAGAACCCGATTGCAATTCTATGGTTCAATTGTAAATTGAAACCTTTTAACTTTTTTATTTGCTGTTTAATAGTTGATTTAAACTTATCACATAAATACAAAAAATATGCGTCGTGCTGCAAAGGGTTTATATGCGCCTATCTTTATTTGATGTAATCAAGAGTTTGTAAAGGTGTATGGGGAAATGCAAAATAAATAAAAGTTTATCGTATAATAACACGCATTTAAAGATTAAAATAATGCTACAAATCGTGTTATTTCGAAAGCGGCCAAGCAAATAAATCGAAAATAGTTTTAGATTTTATTTGAAATGTTTGGAAATATTTATATAACTCCGAGATCCAGTTTAAATTAGAAAACAATTGATTTTTATTAATTTCAATGATTTAAGAACATCTATCATTGTTATAACGCTTGTAACCACAAGCAATTACCAATCACCATTATCTTTTTGGCCTAAAACTATTAGCGTTATAATGCTCTTTTTTGCAATCTATATTTAGTTTTCTAGGCATAAAATGATAAGCTAAGTATCAATTAAATATTAATGTAAATAGCCGCATTGAGATAAAATTTCCATTAATATGAGGTATACAAATATATATTTTGAGTCTATCATTAAAATCAGGAATTATAGAATGCTACGATCGCCTTTAAGTAGACAACAGTTTTCATAGTCTAGTTAGATTCAAAATTAAATCAGTAATAACCTTCTCCCATTTGATGGGGGTGTTATAGGTTACTGTTGTTCTGACCGCAATTGTTTTTCTATTTACCGCTGCCTTTCGTAAGCCCTGCATAGACAAACGATTCGGATTCGGATTCCGAGTGTGATTACCACCGACGACCAACGGCGACATCAGCGGTACCCGTACCGTACCCGCTTTTTTTCGCTTTCCACTCGGCGATCGGATCGTATCGGATCGCTCGCGTGCCATTTCGTTTCGTTTTCGCAAGTCCGCGGGCTCCAAGCACTTGACTCGCTCTGCTTTTGCGTTTTTTGCTCATTTCGATTTTGTTAGGCGACGTGTGCGGAACTGAACTGAACGACGGTTCGGCGAAATCGCTTTGTACTTTCGTTTCTTGTGGTGTTGTTTGTGCCCGTGCCCGTGCCCCGAGTCAATATCAAATCAAAATCAAAATTCGTGTTTTTTGCCTTTAAATTTTTTTTATTGTTATTTGCATACCACGAAATTAGCGTTTTACCAAACATTTAACCAACGATCTGTGATTTTTTTTAGTTCTGTTTACTTGTGGATTATAAATAACAATAACAAATCGCGTGATTCTGTGTCTCCCAAAAGTCGAGGTTTACCAGAGGAGATTAGGCAAGGCAGACACTGCTTGCTTTTTCTGCGCAGCGCTTCACTGCTTGCATTCCGGGGCGATGGCGCAGTCGACGGCGACATCGCCGCTCTACGCCGGCTACAAACCCCTTGGCCAGACCACCCTCAACCCCCCGGCAACGGATCCGGATCCAGACTTGACCCTGGCCCTGGCGCTCACACCCTCCCCGTCGTGTACGTATAGTGCAGATCCATAGCCTCCCCACCCCAGTGTCTCTCCATTTCACCCACGTTGCACTACGACTGCTGCTGCTGCGTCCGTCTCCATTTTTGTGCTGACTTGGTTGTCTGGTTGACTTCTCCGCCGTGTAATCGCTTGATTAGCAGTTATTCTTTTCTTTTTTTTGTTGGCTTATTAACACAGTTATGGATGGAGTACCTAGTCTTGGTCTTCCGATAATCTCTGCCCACTCTCTTTTCGCACTTATTTCGATGGGATGGAATATTACACAGCATTGCCATTTACGTCGTTTGTTTATAAGTCGCTTTTCCCTCTTACTCTCACTCTCTCTCGCTCTCTGTGTCGTCAGAAATCAGAAATCGCCGTCATCTAAAATCGGCATCCCATCAAGAGACCTGAACAGATGAAATGCTTTGTTTTCATTTTCAAATGCCCCAACGAATATTCTGTGCCTGCTATTTTGGTATTTTTGTGAATTTCCTTTCCGCCTTGCGGCGCATTGTTGTTACGACTGGTAGTTTTCTAGCATTAGCTCTATGCAACACGTCAGTCGCCTTCATTTTCTATAATTTTTGTTGTTGTTTGTTTGTCATTCATTTCTTTGGGGAACCGGAAAAATGCCTCAAAACACAAAACGCCGAGGAAGCGTTGTGAGGCAAAAGATTTTGGTTATTTTTTTTATTTGCTATCCGTACCATATCACCTGACCATTTTGCACCAGCTGCCCCCCCAATTCTCAACCCCAACCCCTTTCTGGTGGCCTTGAGGGTCCGTTATTTATAATTCCGTTTGCTTGTGCCCAGTGGGAATAGCACTTGTCGACCAGGTCTGCCTACGTATGAAGCTGTTTAGGGTTTCAGTTTTTTCAATGGTAGAACTTTCGCCAAAAATGTAAGCAAATTTTTCCGTAAAGTTGACTATTTTAGATTTCTGGCTAAACGGGGGTATAGTTGCCACACGGAGTGGCAAGAAAAAGCTTGGGTGCTTAAAGCTTAATCCCTTTGGGCCCAGCGCTGCACATGGCATTGAAACTGAAAGTGGGCGGCTTATCTGTGTCTTTTGGCAATGAAAAAAAAAACCTACTCATCAGGGTGTCCCGGTTTTAAGCAACTGATTAAACGATACTTTTCTCAATTTAGAGAAAAATGTGTATTTACATTGTGTTAAGTGGTGTAACATTCTAGGAAGTCTTCACTAGATTCGTAATAGAAACCCACAATTGGGTTTGTAATTTGTTACAGTTGAAGAACTATAGTTAAATTTAATTGGAGCCAAAATAGTATGTGTAATAAGAGGGGATATTTCGGTATGCGGAAGTGAACTTTCCCTTGGTATTTAATTATAAATGAACGATTATTTTATAAACAAAGTTTATAGATCTAAATCAGATTATGGAAAAGGCAATACCTTCGATATAATTAACGCAATAATTTAACTGCGTTGCCGCCCTGCTAAGGTACAAACAATAGCAAGGTGGTCACGAGCCCCATTTGAGCGATTCGCGAAACGCAATTAGATCCCTGGTCAGGTGGTCTGATAGGTATTTAGGGGGTTGCGCCCATTGTTACCCTTTCGCAAACAAGTCAAACATTTTCAGGGAACACCGATTAGAATTCAAATACACTCACTCAGCTATGCAAACATTTCCGGCATGAAATAAATGATGGTTAATGCCAAAATGAAAGCATTTAAATGCGAAATCATTTCCCATACTTTGTGGACTACATGACGTTTTTGGAATCGATCATAAAATATATTTTTTTTTATCGACAGCAGAGCCGATCTTGCAATGTCTGTTCGTACTAAACTCTCGCGCTGAAATAAAATGGTAGCTAAGTCAACAAGAATTCGGATTAAATGACTAACTAAAAACATCGAACTAAATATATTGTATTTTTAGGAAAGGCATTCAAATAAGAAGAAATCTATCTTTACACTTCTAAGAGCTCTTAAGGGCCTCACTGTTTCGCTTAACATTTTAAATATTTTACACTTATAAATATTTAAGAAATACACTTTTGCCAAAACCACAATAAAATGCTGTAAAGAAATGCTTTAATGTCGAAAGTAAAATTGTACCATAAAAGGGGTATGTAATTAGTCAATATGACTCACTGCTAGAAATTGAGTAGCAACAGTGATTTTTTTTTTTGCCATTGAGATGGAAAGTTTTGCAGTGGGCATTTAGCGAACTAAATTTAGCATCCACCCACACAGCGGCATCTCATCAGCATCACTCGCATTTCACATGAACACATGCCATGCATCGTAAATTCTCACCTGGAGTTAAACGATAATCAGTTGTTTGAAGAGGGCGGAGAGGGAGTTGTGTTGGGGGCGGAATTTATTGGCTTTGCGCTCTGCTGTTTGGATACTGGCTGTGATCTGTGGTTATTTTTGCAGTGATAAGACGACAATACTAGACAATAAACATTGTCATTACTTGTAGATGGACTCTGTGCTCTTCTATTTAATTTAGTCGCTTTCTGCAGCTGTTTTGTTCCCATATTTTTCTGTTCATTTTTTGCACTGTGCCATTGTGCCATTCATTGTCTTATCAGGGCCTGTCCGGCCGGACTTTCATGTCCCAACGATAATTACACTCGTCGATGTTGCTGTTGTAGCTGCTGCTGACAATGTTGTTATTGGCATTATTTTTGGTAATTCTGATAGTGCGACAGCTGGGTGAGATTATCAGCAAGTCGGTGGAAGATTGTGCCACATGCGTCCGCATGGTCTATTCGCATTTGCTAATTTCTACAGCGCTGAATTTCTTCGATTACGTCGTCGACCATACGGATGAGTCAGCCTATGACGATCAACTTGTTGGAAGACTGTATAATAGGAATTTTGTACTTTATCTTAATGCGGGATTTTTGTTTGGTGACTGGTTTATTTGAATTTACACTAAAAATATTACTTCCTAATAAACTTGTAACTATATTATATACAGATAAACACCAAACAACCAGATATTAATTAGATACACGCAGTTGGGAAAGATAATAACCAGTTTCATATCTTTCTGATAAAAAGATACGAAATTTTACATTCCCTATGAAAAATCCTAATGACAATTATAATTACCTTGGCGTTCTACTAGCCTAAAAATGTACATTTCAGTATTATTATGTCCATTTTAAGTTGGTTCTAGTTCAAGTTTATTAGAATTTAAAATTGTAGGCATACATATCGTTTAAGATTAACTAGAGTGCAAACAATTTCTATTTAGATTAGATGTGTTTAAACTTACCTAAACATTTGAATGAAATCAATCGGCTGTTAAAAAGGTTTAATTTCCTTTCAATGAACTTATCTGTAAATAAGAGTAGGATGTATTTCTAAATGTTTAAGTATTGCGATTAAATCTTATCTCTAGAAAAATCTAATTTATTAATTCTAATGCAACAAAAATGGAAATGATAAGAGATAGAAGGAATAATTTTCGTCCCAATATAGCATATATATTGCTCATCACAACCGAAGAACTAGTCAATATAAATAGTAAGATATGGCCATTATATATATGTTGCTAAGCAAATTATATCTCAGGTTTAAATTAAAATAACTTGCAATTTTAGATAAATTTTCTTCAAAAGAAAACTGAACTTATATAAAAATTCGTAATTTACTTTTTAAAATTAAAAATTTACAACGACTATCTTTTTTATTGTTTTTATTGTTTTGATTGAAAAACAAAATTCCATATCCTTGTTTTCACTGAAGAGTTCTTATCTAAACCCGGTTTACAATACATTAATTTTTACACTATTCAATTCTACCCATTACTTAAATTATTTATATATTTTGTGGTAATTCCGCGAAAAATCGATCGAAATTGAAAACAGGAACCGGTTCTGAGTTTTGAATTCCAATTTTTGATAAGGGAGTGCAATGCAGATCGCGGATCACCGGATCATCAAGCTGCACCTAGCGATGCACGTCCCAAATGCGTGATCATCTAACCCAGCTGTATTTGATTTTTCGCTGCTCTTGACCTTGGCTGGGCCATATGGACCAGTTTGGTTGGGAAGCAGCTCTCGGATGGGTCGTTGTGTAGATCGGATCGATTGCCTCCATAACCTAATGACGCACAAGTGAGCGATCGATCTACCCAATCGGAGGGCCTGAAGTCCGCCGAGTATAGAGCAAGCTCAGTTGCACCGGAAAGCATTGTGGACAAACACGTGAGGTCCGAGTTAAGTGGTAAGACTTATGAGCTGAACTTTGAATTCCAGCCCGGCAAAGTCAATTCCACCACAAACCGCAGAGAAACAGTGTGCAAATAATTAAACGTTTCTAACGTTTGTCATGTATTCAAAACTGTCACTGTTAATTCCCAGATACAGTCAAACCTCCAAAACCTAACAAAATTCCTTCAAAATGTATAAGTTTTTAATTTCTCAAATAGAAATTTTCGAAAATTATTAAAAAGTTGTTAAGTTTTGCCTGATTGAATAGTATTTTAGCAGACCCTTTAGGATCCTAAAGATATCCAGTTTAAGATAAAATATTACTTATTTTATAAATATTAGATACAGCCTTTTTGAATTTATTGTAAGAATCATATGTATGTAATATGTTAATTAATGGCCTAGGATTCCGATTACTGCTGATTCGGCTTGGCAATAGACTATACTTGTGAGAAGTCTGACTGTAGATGCGCAGTTAGGCAAATGATCGACTCACTTCTTTTCCTGAATTGGAATTGAACACAGACGTCGTCGTCGTTGTTACAGTTACATTTCGTGCTTATAGCTTTTAGCTATTAGGTATTAGCGCCGCCGTCGACGACGCTTTTCTCTGCCCGCCGACGCTCGCGATTCTCAGAAATCGGCAATAGTTTTTCAGTGTTTGAGCGTTCAGCGCAGTGTCTGCTTCACAATTTCGATTCGCTCTGTTCCGGCTCCTCGACGGATTCAGCAGGTTTCCTTCGTCTGTCACCTGACGCCTGTCGATTCAGGTAATAATTCCCTACATACCCATTCACTAATTATTGCTGACCATAAACGCTAATCAATTTGTCCAGTTCTTGTCCTAAGGCATTTGGTATGAGCCCATCTAAGTCAGCCATAATAAACTAATATCCATTGCCATTAAGTGAGGTTTCGTTTATTTGCTTGTGTCCCGTCGGTCTTGGCCTGGCCAATTAAGCGGTATTGAAACAGCGATACCTTTCGGCCACTGGCCATATAAAAATGGTGAGGTGTGAGAGCAAACTTTAAAATCAGGTAAACTAGAGAAAATATATGCTCTTTTCACTCAAAAAGACACAGGTTTTTAAGAAATACATAACATGCAACATATTATAACCAGACGGTAAAGAGCCTTTCTACGAAAAGGTCATCCAAGTCAACAAAACCTTCAAAGACAAATCCCAGTTAAAAGAAGTGGTTTCTAATTATGGTTAAAAGTCGTCTTAATATTGGACCATTGTCCCCTGTTTCATTAAGATATTTTATTCTTTTCAAATAATTAATCTATACGTATGAAAAATATTTACAATCTGACTAGGCAAGCTATTAGAAACTTGGGTCAATATTGTTTACACAACAAATGGGAAACTAGCAATCATTCTTTTATATAGTGTACCTGCCTTTCCTCGATGTGTTACATGTTTCATACGTGTTTAATGAAGTGAAAATGTTTATGGATATCTTTCTAAATTACAAAAATGTATTACACAAAATTTATTTTTATACGTACGTTAATTATTTAATAATTTCGGTTGACTTATTATTATCTTTGTGTTAAAAAAGTCCACCTCATGTGGCTAATTTTAGGATTGTCGTTTGAAAAAATTGAGAATTTCAAAAAACTGAGAAAATTAGCACTCCACAGCTATTTTTTCGCTCATAGCTGTACGAATGTGTCGATCACAATGCGCGATCGTGTCGCTGTTGTTTAAGAACCACCGTGATCTGTGAGATTTTTGGAAGATTCTGACGCAGATCTTCCTCTGTGTTCTGCTTTCCATTCCCACACATAGATTGCTGTTTGTGGCTGGGTTGTTTGAATTTCTGGTTAGCCGATAAAGAGGCGGTCACGGTGCCTGTAATTTTTGCCCTGTCTTTATCACTTTTACTATGACGGTGGTAAAATTCCATCGGAGAACCCTCATGGTTTTCAAGACCATGCCCGTAATATTTGACGTTAGTATAGGGAAATAATCAGCACTGGATCCATATAAAAATACTCGATTCGGCGACAAGTAGATCCATAAATATTCCACTCACTAATGAGCAGCATATTTGAATTCCGTGTGTACAGCCTGTGTGTGTGTGTATTTCGTTGTTCCTCTGTTTTCTGTTTCACTTTCCCCCTGTTTTTATTGTAGATCATCAGATTGAAGATACTACATGCATAAGTAAAGTAACCGGGAATTTGGCAATAATTCCAGATAGTACCGCCATAAACGGCTGAGCTGGCAACCCTGCTGCTATTGAACTTCAACAACAACCAAAACTATCGATAACAGAACTGTGTGAGAAGTGGTCGATTCGACTGAATTCGATAGGATTTATCAGCTGTTTCTTCACAAGTTTCGTTCCGTTTCGTTTTGTTTTTAGTGTGTACTTCGTTCGTTTATTATTTGTGCTAATTCCGCTCTCCATTTTGATATTGCTCTCTCGCTTAGAAGAGCGTCGCCCACGCAGCACGCACGTTTTGTGTGAGGTTTTTGCCTCAGTTTCAGTTTCACTTTCATTCGTCTTCGATCGTCAAGTGCAAATAAGTCAAATATTAGCCATCCACATTCACCGCAAAACACATATACAAGCGCACATTTTTGTATCTACTCCGCATTGTATTTGTCCGGAGACACAGATGATTGGCATTATTTCGTAGGTATAACTACCTACAAACAGAATTATCCATATCTCCTTGACATTTTGGATATCTAACCCCGAACTGAATCTCCCAGAAAACCAGCACAGTGTGTTCATCTCATCTTCATCATCTGCATAAATCATTCCACATTCGGCAATTAAACCCAATACAACAGCACATTTATGTAAAAATACTCGACTAATTTCATGTTTCGCCACGCCACAACAACAACAACAACAAACAGCAGTATCATCAGCAGCAGCAATAACAACATCAGCAGCAACATCAGTTGAAGGAACAGCTGATCAGCCCCAAAAAGCTCAGCAAAAAGAAGGAGAAGGAGCACAATTGACGAAAACAAATTCTAAACAGATACTTTCAGCCAGCTATAGTTCAATCGACGACGACGACGAGGATCAAGTAGGAACATTTCCATTGCCCCTGCCCTCCATCAATAAAAGGACACCCGCCCTACTCCCCCGTTTACCACCAACATCCCGTCCCTATACAGACGACTTGTGCACCTGCTGCAACTGTGCGTATTCCAGTTCCTCCTCTGCCTCGTCCACATCCTCATCATCCTCAACAGCAACCGCCTCCGCCGTTGCCAAGCAGCTAGCACGCTCCGTGACCGCCACCAGCATCATGGATATGCCGTACAACACCTCGCCGTCGCTACGAGTGCGTACCACCTCGCTGAATCAGTTGAAGAAGACCGCCGACCTTGCCATTGAGAACGAGCTGCACGTTTGCCCATCTGTGATGTCCGAGGAGCTGCGCAAGCTATTGCCACCTACCTCGGAGACGGTGATGACCAAGCCTTTTCCCATTCGCGGTGAACGAACCATTGCAGACTGTACCACGCCGCATGTTATTGCCATGGTTGGCCTGCCGGCGCGCGGCAAGACCTTCATCTCCAAGAAGCTGGCGCGTTACCTCAACTGGATTGGAATCGCAACGCGTGTATTCAATTTGGGAGAGTACAGGCGTCATGCGACCACCGCGTATAAGTCACACGAGTTCTTTCGCGCCGACAACGAGGAGGCGATGGCCATCCGCAACCGGTGCGCCAATCAGGCATTGCACGATTCCTGCGAGTGGCTGCTGAGCGGCCAGGGCAGCATCGCTGTATTCGATGCCACCAACTCGACCCGCGACCGTCGCCAGTTGATCCATGACATTGTGGTCAAGCAGCATGGGTTCCGTTTGTTTTTCGTGGAGTCAATCTGCGACGATCCCCAAATCATTGAGCAGAACATCCTGGAGGTCAAGGTCAGCTCACCGGATTACCTCAATATGAACACGGAACTGGTAGTAAGGGACTTTTTGCAACGCATCGAGCACTACGAAGAACGCTATCAGCCCATTGATGAGGTCACCGAGGCTCATCTCAGTTTTATGAAGGTTTACAACGCCGGCAAGAAGGTTGTCGTCTACAACAACGAGGGCCACGTCGAGTCGCGCATTGTGTACTACCTAATGAACATTCACATAACGCCGCGCACCATCTACCTGACGCGTCACGGCGAGAGCGAGCACAACCTGAGCGGTCTAATCGGCGGCGACTCTAATTTGAGTGCCCGCGGTCACCAGTACGCCAATGCCCTGTCGACGTTTATAGCCCAGCAGCAGATCGATGGACTCCGAGTTTGGACGTCGTGGATGAAGCGAGCTATCCAGACAGTGGCCGATGTGAAGGCGCCTCAGGAGCGCTGGAAGGCATTGAACGAGATCGATGCCGGTCACTGTGAGGAAATGACATACGAGCAGATCAAGGAGAAATTCCCTGAGGAGTTCAAAGCCCGTGATGTGAACAAGTTCGCCTATCGCTATCCACGTGGTGAGAGCTACGAGGACCTGGTTGCCAGATTGGAGCCGGTCATCATGGAATTGGAGCGACAGGGCAATGTCTTAGTAGTGTCGCACCAGGCGGTACTGCGTTGTCTTTTTGCCTATTTCCTGGATAAGTCCGCCGATGAGCTGCCCTACCTGTATGTGCCGCTGCACACGGTCATCAAACTTACGCCGGTGGCCTACGGCTGCAAGGTGGAGCACATCAAGTTGCCCATTGACGCGGTAGATACGCATCGTCCCAAACCCAAGATACCCGGTGATGTTAGTGAGCCAGGTCTAGATGGCCTCAGCGGCGAGCTGGTGGCACCCGATGGCGTCGGCAAGGTGCTTATTGTGGGCGACGATGTGGCGACGGCCACGAACGGTAATGGCGGGCGCGTCGATGTCCAAGCGCACCAATGACGGCGTCGCCTGCACCCCGTGCACCCACATCCGCCTCCGAAATCCAAGACAATCTAAACTAAGCACGGCTGCTGGAACGGCTACGGCTGCCCAAACCTTCAAGACACAAGCCCCCCTAAATCCCAGATCCCGCACTAATTCTTACCCTATCGCATCCCGAACAGCCCAACGGAAACGGACATAGATACGAACTTGGTCATGCAAGTGTAACAATGACAACAGCTTCTGCACCTGCTCAAAGGATGTGGTGGCGCTTCTACTTAATGTGACATCGGAGGACTGCGTATGAAATTGTGATTGATCCATTGTGCTGTTTTATTATGTACTTTAATGAACAATTAAAATATAAATTTTCTATAACATCTATATTGATGAAAAAAAAGAATATTACTTAAATACATACTTAGATTTATACACATTTATGTTTTCTCTTGTGAAGAGAGAAAACTTGCTTAATTTTGTATTGGTTGCTGTTGGCATCCTATCTATTCACTATCAAGAAAAGAATGTTCTAACACTTTATACCCAAATGTGTTTTTTTTTATCTGCTTCGTTGTCTATTTGTATACCAGTTTTAACCGAAATTTTTAGCTAAACGGAGAAGATAAACTTTCGAATTCCATTCGCCAACTTTGTATAACTGAAATCACTTACCCGAGACACTTTTATAGCCTATATGTTTGCTCGTAAATGTACGTGCGGAAGAAATATTGTAACTACATCAATACTATCAATCTAATCAACAATAAATAAACATCAATTTATTAAAAGAACGTGTGCCAAATGCAAATTGTTTCCTTATCGTTTGGGGTTCTTTAACTTAAATAACCGAAAATACCAATACTTTTAATTTTGTAGTTTAAATACAAAATATTACCGTAAAACCAAAATGTATCGTTTTTCTATTAAATACATTCAGCTTTAGATGAGAATACGCATTTAAAATTGGATTTACTGTTGGTGTTTTAAATAACATTTCATATATTTAAAATTTCTTTATTTGGGTTAAATGTAAAATATATTAAAAACGGTCTCTTTTACAAAATCCGATTAAGAGTTCATCGCAAAAAGTAGAAAAAAAAATGAAAAAGTGGATAAGGGCCTTCCGAGAGATGTCATTAGTCGGTTTGTTAACTTGGCCGAAATTGGACATTTATCGCAGAAATTACTTTTCAAGCAAAAATTTATTTTCGTTTCGATTTTGGCTTTCAGCTGCCGGGAAGTGTATTGGGGTGTGTCCTCGTCCTTGTCTGCTAAGATAACTTGAATCACTGTGTGACTACAAAACCATCCAAGAGACATCGAAGAACCAGGACGGCTCAAAAATCGGCAATATGCCGCGTTTTCGCAATGAGGAGCCAGAGCAGTCCCACTACAACGATGGCGACGTGGTCTGGGTAAAGATTCACAACACCGAGATTTGGTGGCCGGGTGAAGTGACCTTATCGCAGGACTTTCGTTTCGTGAACACCAATCGACCGCCATTTGCAGTTGTTGCGTTTTTCAACGAGAAAACCTTGTAAGTTCCCCCGCTTCAAAAGTAATATACCAAGTTTTTTAATCCATCTTTTGCGCAGCGAGCAAGTCAAATCGGCAAAACTGATTTATCCCTTTGAATGCGCTCTTAAGGAGGAGTTCATCAAACGTGGAAGCAGTAAGTACACATAGAAATATGTAAAGTATATGTATGATTAGGTTAGCTTTTTTCCATGACTTGCAAAAATGTGAGGTATGCAACTGCACCTATTTAATTTTTATGTGCTTTACACTTGCAATTTTTAAGTTTTTTTTAAATTTGTCTTAGTAAGTTAGCATTAAATTTTATAAATTTTATAATTTATAGCAGATAGCTATTTTTAAACTCGAAAAGAAAAACGATCGGCAATTTTCATAACCTCACATTGCGTTGCATGTCACTTTATTTAATAATCTTTACCATTTAACAATATTTAAAAAACATTTGCGTATTGTACGAAAGCAACAGCAACATTGAACTTTGCAATGTGATTTCCTTTGCAGAAAAAGCCGATGGAATACACATGGGCGACAAGTTCAGTGACGATGTGGCGATTGCTGAGTCGCGCTACCACCGCCAACAGACCGTGATGGGATCGACATCGGCCGTGGTCGAAGGCATCAGCGGACGCGCCACCCGGCCGGATAGTCTCATCAAAGCGTGCCTCTCGAGCAGCAGCAACAGCAGCAGTGTGCACAACAGCAGTGCCCGCAGCAGCGGAGTGCCTTCGCCGGCGGGTCGAGTAAGTAGCTCGGCATCGCTCCAATCTGTTGATAATGCCGTATTCCGACAGCAGGAGCCCACGTTTCGCATCATGGATATTGGGGGTTGCACCAAAAAACCACCTCGCAATCATGGCATCGACGAGGCCGGCTACGAGTGTAACATGTGCACCTTTCGCACCAACAGCATGAGCGTCCTGCTAATCCACCGTCGTGCCCATCTGGAGTCAAGCAGTAGTTTCAGCAGCAATAGTACCAGCAGTACGGTTAATAGCACCACAATCCTGGACATTGGTCGGAATACGCGTGCAGCGCGTCGAGCCAACACTACCAACGTGGTCGATATGCGTCCATCGGGTAGTAGTCGGCGGAGCCGGGACAGCACGCCTTTTAACAAGAACGAGGTGCGCTGCCACTCCCGTCACGTTTCCATTGTGATTGACGCACCGCTGACAAACGAGGAGCATAAAAGGGTGAAAACCATAGCCGAACAAACTTTGGCGAGCATTGAGCTCGTGGTTCGTCCTGGTGACGCCAGCACATCGGCCTCCGCCTCCGCCTCCACCCGTAATAGCTGTTCGTCATCGCCACAGGTGCCTGTTGCTGAAAGCACGCGACGCAACAACTCAAGTCCGCGGGATCCGCGTAATCAGCGCTCCAATCAATTGCGAGCCACCATGCCCGCGCCGCAGTCGCCACCTCCGCCTAAGCAACGACGATTAACTCGTTCCATGAGCCGACGCCAGCAAGGCACATCCCCACCCGCCGACTCTCCAGAACTTCTACCGCCACCGACACAGACGACTAAGCGCCGCGGTCGTGCTAGACGCTGCACGATGGCTGCCACAACTGCTGGGCAGTTTACCCCGCCCAGGCGGGGTAACCCCTTACGGAAAACGCTTACGACACCGACAACCACTGTGGAGAAGCCATCACGGAACGCAGGACGTCGAAAGAGAACGTTCTCTAGGACAAGATCGTCCTTATCTTTTGATTTGCGTCTTGTTCCATCTCCACCACCGAAGCGTGCTGTAGATGATAAGGACGACGAAGTGGCAGAGCCTGATTTGCCATCGAGTCCATCGCCAGAGCCGGTTTCAAATGCTGACCTTGAACATCCAAAAGAGAATCTCCCGCACTCGCAGAGCACTATCGACGCCTCCAAGCAACTGCAGCTTAGTCTAATGGCCGAGTGGGGTGACGACGAGACGGACGAGTCGCTAGAGGAGCCACCGCAGCCGTCTGTTAATAACGATACGAAGGTCGTGGAACCTCCACCAGAAGAAGAGCAGCATGCGGGCGATGAAGAGGATGAGAAGACTGATGGCGTTGCTGCAAAGAAGCGCATACGCAACATACCAAAGAAGGATCGGCGCGACGTGATTGTGCAGGTATTCCAGGCCGACAGCCTGCCAGAGGCTGATGACCCGGAGGCTGACGAACCGATTGTCATCCCGGACAGCGACGCCAGCTCCAATGGAAGTGTAGTGTTCGTGGAGGACGAGCCGAGGCAGCGCAGCAAGGGAGTTCATTCACATCCCAATGGCAATGGCACTGATAAGGCCTCATCCTCGGCCAAGGCGGCCAGCAACATCCCATCTTGCTTTGATTTTGAGGAGGAAGATGATTTGCAGCAACAACAACAGCAAGATGGCCAGAATGGTCTGAGCTATAGGCGCCGAACCTATACCAATCGCCCTGATGCAAACGGCAAAGGCCTTTTAGAGGGGGATATGGAAGAAGAGCCACAAGAATGTGAAGAGCCTGAGGCTGTGCAGGAACCTAAGGTCTTCGCCTATTTTGAAAGCTTTTTCAAGGGCTTCGAAGATGTTCCGGAACAGGCATTCTCGGCAGTCGAGACGGAGGCAGAGCCTAAGTCAGATGTGGTGCAGGATGAGTTTCTGCCTCACGTGTATACAACTGATCCTGAGGAAGCACTGCCCGAGGACGGAACCGAGGGGGAAGTGGGAGATCACATGAGCCTGCCCATCAAGGAGCGTCAAAAGCGCATTTTTAAGTCACGAAACAAATCATCAGTGGTGGGACCTCAGGACGAGTATGTGCCAGTCTCGATGGTTTCCGTTTCGCCCAGGGCCGAAGAGGAGGTGACCGCCCCCAAGATCCAAAGCCCTCTCCAGGAGGAAAGCTGTGTCAACTCGCTTACTTTCAACGGAAACAAAAGCAGAAGGAATAGCAGCGCCAACAATAGTAATACAAATAGCAGCGATGGTGCAATGGAAAGCATTAGCCGGAGCAAAGAAAACCGCCGCAAAAAATCCAAGACTGAATCATCTCGACGCCCGTCGCCACGCTCGAAGTCGAAGATACAGCAGCATAATCTCTTGACTGGCCATGAGGAGCTGAGCAACAATAGCACCAGCAGTAACAGCAACACCAGCAGCAATAGTAACCATATGTCCAGCTCCAGTTCAAGCTCGGACTCGCATGGCATCGGAACTCTATCCCCGGAGCCTAGCTCAAGCAACAGCTGCTCCATAGCATCGAATATTGCTGTAATCTCAGCGGAAGAAGCACGAGAGCTACAGCGATCTGCTTCTGGAGCCGGTCTTATCCACGCCGCCATCGTAGATGCCACACAGCCGGTGCAGCGCGGTGGCGTACTCATTCTAGAGGATATCCGTCTGCCCAATTTGTACGAACCATTCGGTAGTCTGAATTCATCAGACAGCAATGGTAGTCGGCATACAAACTCGCGACCGCCCGACGAGGAAGACGAGCAGTCACAGGATACGACGGAGCAGCAAGAAACGAATGATGATCACGATCAGGATGAGGAGGAAGAGGACAGTCAGGATGAAGAGAATACACCTGATGATGCTGAACCACCAGAGCAGACTGCAGAAGAGGAACAGGACCAGGAACGGGGCCAGGAACAGGAACTGGAACTGGATCAGGATCAGGAATTGGAAAAGGAACAGGAACAGGAACAGGAAAAAGAACAGAAGCAGAATGAGAAACCTGATCCAAGTCCCGAGCCAGAAACAGACAACGAGTTAGACACCTGGTCTCCATTACGCCATTCGCCCGATGTCGTACGCTACCTCCCGCAGGCACGTGAGGTGCTTCTTAAGAAACGCGAACAAGAGCTTCTGCGACAGTACGAGGCCGATCTTGTCAGCGGACGGAGTGCGGAGAAGTGTCGGCAGGCCCGTGCACGTTGGAGCCGACCGGTGCGATCCCCCGATGAGGAAGATATTAATGAGTTAGAGTTGGAAACAACGCCGCTGGTCCCGTCGCCATCCGAAGAGGATCAACAGGAACTGGAGCAGCAAAAGAAGAGGATTAGTTCTGATGAAGAACAGTCTTTTATGGCTCCGGAGGATATACCAGCAGACGATGAGGAGGTACAGGAGATGGAGCCAATAGATGAAGATTTGTCTATCGACGAGCAGCTGGCAGCCGTCGAATTGGTGCTACCAGCTACATTGTTTTCATATACACGCCGCCCCGCCAGCCATCCACAAGTCACTGCACTGGCCCCAACCCCGTCCACTACAAGCGGGCCAAATAAGCCCTCCAGACATTTAAGTTGCGCCCGTACACTGAGCGATGCGGACGTAGCCAAGGCCCATCAGCAGCTGGTGGATCTGCGAGAGCAACAGCGCCTTCGCTCCACTTCGACATCGCCGCCCGTAGCCATACAACAGCGCCTTCGCTCCACTCTGACTTCACCGCCCGCGGTGCTAACTCCGCCGGCAACCCTGCTGCAGGCCGGCGGGCAACGAAAACAGCGTCGCCGCTCGAAGAACGCTGCTAGTGACAATGTAGATAGTAGTTCCCGCAGTGACCTTGCCGAAGAGTCGTCCTGCGAGACCAAAGATGGTCAGGAGAGCCCCGAGAACGTAAGTTGTATTTGTATATACATATGCGTTATAACAATTTTTAGTTATTTTTCTTTATTTAAACAAAAGTTTTATTTTATTTTATATCCTGCTTTGTCAGACAGGATGAAAGAATAGTTATTTATGGGCCAAATGGATGTCTTTTTTCTCAGCCTACTACCAAATCCTAGCATCCTTTGCATAAATGACAATTACTTGGAAACTATTTGAAAAACATATCTTCTATATTACACTAACACTTATAAAAATAAAAACTAAGAAACATGAGAAAATTGAAACTTAATTTAAAAACTTGTCTTTTTTCATTTGTTATATACAGCCGCCTCAGCTGTGCGCTGGACGCATCTGCGCGGTGATGACTCGACCTATTCCGGGCTACAGTCACACTTTTATGCTCTGCTCCCTGAACAACAACAATTTTACGCCACTCAACAACGTGGCACTGTACCTGGACAACGAAAAGAACCATTTGGTGCCGGTGCCGCGCGAGGCATTGCTAGAACCGCCGCGCCTTGCCGATGGTCATCCTCTGTCCGCCGTCTTTGCTGACATTGACTTTTTGGGCGGAGAGGCGGTAGCACAGGTAGTGGAACCATCAGAGGCGGACACTGAGGCGGAACTCGAACAGGATCAGATGTCGCCGCGGCATTTGTCGCCACAATTGCTGCTCAGCGAGGCTGATAACGATGTTGAGCCGGTCGATACGATGGGCATTATGACGCCACTTAGTCAGGTGGCCGAGGGAAGCGCCTTGGCAGCTGGGAGCTATGTGAACGAGGAGGAGGAGTTGTCCCTGCACGAGGAGCAACTGCAGGCCAATGTGCTGCAGCTAAATGTTAATGGCCACCGCTTGGAACTCGATCCCTCGGTGCTATTTAGTATTGCCGAGCAGCCAGATACGTGCATCGAGTTGAGTGTCACCGATACGGGATCCGGTGGGTCCGCTGTTGGTGGCAGCATGAGAGCCGTGCTTCACGCTCGAGACATCTTACAGGCGGCGGAGGTATACCTACAAGAACGCGACCTGCAGCTGGTCAATGTGGAAGACATAGCGCTGGACGATGATGACGGACATGCTCCAACGGTCTCCATGTCAATGCCTGCATCTGATCTGCTATCTCAGGCGCTGGTTGGTAGTCAAGTGGTGGACGACTCCGATTTCGTGAACGCAGCCAACCCTGGCGGTGGCATGCTCCACATCGATACCTGCACCACTGGTGGCCTCCTGCATGTCGGCAACGACGAGCCAGGCAATGTGGTGTATATCTCACACCCCATGCCCCCACAGACCGTCCATCTAACGCCTCCGATAACGGCGCGCACCAACGAGACGAACGCGCTGCTCGACCAGACGCCGATCATGTCCACGTTAGAAAATCCAAGCGGTATGCAGCTGCGCCGTGTATCACCGCTGGTCGAGGGCAACCTGGAGGATAGTCTGGCTGTGATCGGAGTGACAAACGGCAGTGGTGTGCCAACCTCACTAGAACTGCCCATTACCGTCACCAATCCGGCCATCGCATCCCGGATGGGGGCCCCCGTCTCCGACATGCTACAATTCGCTTCTTTCCAATAGGAGAGCACAGTCCAAGAGCATCTCAATATGCTTTATTTTTTTTACAATTAAGAATTTTTTGTTAGGTTTAGTAGATGCAAGCTTAGGCATTTTATTTTGAGCGAAGAAGAAGAGTGTACAAGTTTTATTCAGAACCACCTCTTCGTTAGTTAAATTGACACGATAATGAAAGATATTTAGATGCTTAGTTGATTTAAGTTAGATTCTTTGACCACTCCTTTCCCTTACATTGCAAATGTAGGCCGAGAAAGGGAAATCACACTTGCGCGTAAAATATTTAAACTCTTGGATTACATGCGAATAAGTTAGTTCAATCCACAGAACGGAAGACCAGAACAGACCAGAAAGATGAGGTGAACAAAAAGCCAATAATGAAAAAGTTTTGTGTGATCGATGCCCGGCACCAAAGGAACAAAAAATAACGAAATATAAATGAATATGCAACGCAGCATATAGAACATATAAGTACACTTGTGTGAGCAGAAGAAGCACAGTTTTATTTTAATGACTATAAATGATTATACCAATGTGTGTAAGATATGTCAGTCTTTAAGCTAACAAAAATAATGTAAAGAACGCCCAGAAAGAAGAGTGGGCAGATCAAGCTGCCCAACTTGGGTGGCTATTTAAATAAAGGCAACACGTGCAACAAAGGTATATTTTTTTATTGCCACGAAATGATATGCAATCAACCTTCGAGTAAGCGCAGAGACAAGGCTTAATATTCAGTTTTACCAGTGACTTATTTAATCGACAGGTTTTATAATATAGTACAAGGCATCATTACATTTCGAAAGTAATCGATTAAGAAAAATCAATGTAATTTAAATTTTCAAATTCTTTATCTTCATTTAACCTTTTTTTTACCTTAAAAATCTATTCAAAACTATTTTTTTTGTTCTAAGAGCGCATGCATGACTATAAAAAATGTACATGTTAAAAAGAAAATTTAAAATTTATCGGAGGAATAAAAACACTTGCAGTTCCGAAAGAGAAAGGAATCTTTTGTATCATTTTTATCATTGAAACCGAAAAAATTAAAGGAAAACAGTATAGTACGATGTTAAAAATGCAAGAAGTGGAAACCGGACTATCCATACATAAAATAATCAATAATTAATTTATTTTTGTTAGCGAAAAAAAAAAACGAAAATATATTTTTTATTTTTTGAATCCCAAGTGATAAGTGGTTTTGGTATTTAGTTTGGTTTACTTTATTGAGTTTTAACAATTGCATGATGATTTTGCATTACAATTCGCTTAATTATTAATAACAATTGCTTTTAATTTTCATAGCATTTGTGTATTTCTCTCTTGGTTTGAATAAGTTTAGTTTGTGTTCTGTTTAGAATAACATTATTGTAACCGTTTACACTCAACTTTCAACTAGTCTGGCTTCTATTTCACACGTTTTGCCTCGAATTTGACAAAATGTTTGCTTTCTTTAAGTGGGTCACAGCTGCACGCACTTAACTCAAAAGGCTAAACAAATTAGGAAATTAATAATCAATAAATAATTAAGATTATATTTTTGCATACGAATTATATAAACAATAATAACTCAAGGTTTTGGCTGGATGGCGACAAAAATACTTTACTACCGCAAGTAAAATTGGCAATTTAACGAATTTTAACGCTTGCAAGTTTGGCCTAAGCAAATTAAATTAATATACCTAGGTATTCGAACATAAAAATACTTTAGGTAGTGTTAACTTTAAAATTTTTTGTTTGTTTTTGTTGGGTTGAGGATAATTTTGGCAAAATTTTAATAGGTTAAACGTAAGAAACTTTCGGCAAAGTTAGTGAGTGTGGTTGCTGTTGTTGTTGTTTTTGCTGCTATATATTTTTGGTTTGGGGCGAGTGTTCAATTGCTGTTGTTCATACTGCATCATCTTCCCTCTGCACAATTTTCCTGACGGTATTCTCTGCTCGGTTCTTATCGGATGTTGTTGGCGATACTTGCTACAGTTTTATGCGGGTGATCCGTGATCTATCGTCTACAGCTTAGCGCAGATCTCGTTCGTGAACTCGGAGCACTTGGCACGGCCGCCGAGATCACCGGTGAGATACTTGCCCTCTTTAATGGTCTCGAAGGCGGCACGCTCGATTTTGTCGGCGTACGTGTTGAGCTCCATGTGGCGCAGCATCATCACCGCCGACAGCAGCAGGGCGGTGGGATTGGCAAGATCCTTGCCGGCAATATCAGGAGCGGTTCCGTGCACGGACTCGAAGAGGGCACCGTTCAGACCCATGTTGCCGGAGGGCGTCAGACCGAGACCGCCCACCAAACCGGCGCACATATCAGACAGAATATCACCGTACAGATTTGGCATGACCTGGCATCAAAACAACTTTAGCATAGTGTTGGTAATATGAGAACAAGGTAATACCCCTTACCAGCACGTCGTATTTTCCGGGGTTCTGCACCATGTTCAGGCAAACGGTATCCAGATACTTTTCTTCGAACTGAATTTCTGGGAACTTCTGGGCCATGTCGCGGACACAGCGCAGGAAGAGACCGTCGGACATGCGCCTGTTGGATTTATAGAGCACGTGAGTTTAGTTTGAAGGAAACATGAAGTGGAGTCTGACCACTTACATAATGTTTGCCTTGTGCACAACAGTAACCTTCTTGCGGTTGTTGTTCTTGGCGTACTGGAAAGCGTACTCAGCCACACGCTTGGAGGCCTCCTCGGTGATCAGCTTGATGCTCTGAACGACGCCATCGACGATCTCGTGCTCGATACCAGAGTACTCGCCCTCAGTGTTCTCGCGAATGGTGACCACATCAACATCGTCGTACAGCGTCTTGTAGCCTTCAAGACTGCGGCATGGACGCACGTTGGCGTACAGGTTGAACTCCTTACGCAGGGCCAAGTTCAACGATCGATGTCCCTTGCCCACGGGCGTCATCAGGGGACCCTTCAGGCCGATCTTGTTCGTGTTCACCGAGTCAATGGCAGCCTGTGGGATGCCAAATTTTCCATCGGGGCCCTATTTGTATGCCATGCAAATGCAAAAAATGCTATTAATACGAAATATTATAGAAGTAGAACTATTTCCCTTTTGTGTTACCTGTCTTATCTTCTACGTAAGCAATTAGAACCTCGATTTTTCATTTGTTTTTTATCAACAAACTCACAAAAATACTTGAAGTTTAAATAAATAAATAACATAAGAGGATCTGATGACTGGAAATTATTTTCAACTTTGATTAAAATCTTATAGTTCATAATCAATGCTATTAATTTTAGAGCTTTTTAAAATCGAATGTTTAAAAGACTTAAATGCAGATAGATTTTTAAATTTTGCGCCTTCATATGACAGTAGTTGCCACCTGTTACTAAAAGGGTAATGACTTCGGCAGAGGGCGCTAATTACTAGGTTTCGATTTGAACTGGTAACTGGCTTCTTCCGCCTTCCCGGGATTATGACACTCACCCGAACGGGGGTCACGTCCACGGCCTCCCACTCGATAGGCACGTTGGCAGCGGTGAAGATCTTCTGAACGGCAGCGGAGATCTCAGGTCCGATGCCATCGCCGGGGATCAGGGTGACCTTCTTGGTGCCGGAGGAGTAGGACCGGCTGGCGGCGGGAGTCGCGTTGACCTGAAAAAGGGGAGAAACGAAAAGCGGGTCAAGTAGATTGGTAAATGGAACTGAAACAGTACTTGAGAGGGCCCACATAGATAGGCATCATCAGAGATTACATAAGTTCTCATGCCAAACAACAATCTTGGCCGTTTCCCCCCGCGCTAAACATCTCGTCATGTTGAGGTTAGAGTGCATAAAATATTCCCACGGCGTTGATAAGACCAGAAATCTGAGCCCAATCTCGGTAACTGTTTTTTTCCTATCTAAAGGAGGGGAAGTTATCAGGGGGTGGCAGTCCCTCTCCTCGCCCGCTGTTATCGATATCTCGGCCACGCAACGAGGGAGCGAGAGAGAGAGTGTTATGTAAAGTGAATGCGAATTCTAAATGCTGTTCTCGTTTTCGCCGGACGGACAGCTGATGTCCTGACGGCGGAGGGATTCCACCATTTCAGATTAAGGATTCCATTTGCCATAAAGATCTGTTGTCGCTGTCAGGGAACCAACCTGGTTCACTGCTGGCGTCGCTGTCGCCGCCGGAGCATCACGCGCAGCAATCAAACCCAGTTGATTCAGCTGCAAGTGTTTTGCGTAATGTGTTGTTGTCGATGGATTTTCGCAGATTGGTTGGTTGAGATTGATTATCGATGGAGGACCGTTCGAACGAGAAACAAAATCGCAATGTTAGTGGTTGTTGGCCATTAGTTTTTGGCCAGCACGTAATCAACTGCTGTCCTGCGGAATTGGAAGGGCGAGAAGGGCGAGAGGGAGAAACGCGGCGCGGGGGCGGGACAACTCTAAGCTTAAGTCTACACGAATCTTACAATTTTCTGTATGAATCTAGCAGCCATTGCGTTGCCTCGGTTTTTGCACTGATTCCTGGCGTGTGTATTAATATAGAAAAAAGTCTGTCTTTTTAGTCTGCGCCCGCCGTAGTCGCCACCTTGCGGAAAACTGGCGAATCTGCGATCTATCGGTCGATAGACATGCGGGGGCAGCAGGGCTGCCACCTCGCCGGCACATGATGGGGGGCTAGACTATAATTATCTTAAAAAATTACTTGCGATGATCTGCATTAACCATATGTGTGGCCATATCGGATGAAAGTTTGAAAACTACTTTAATATTGGCATTTATTTAAACTTATCGATGGCCGACAGATCGATAAGCTGAGTTTCGGGGGGCCTGGCATCGCTGCACGTTGCACAATCGATATATTAAAGCGGCACAAGCGATATTTCGACGCGGCATTGCCGATATATCGAAGCGGCTTAATCGATACTTGGAGTGTATCAATTGCAACCGTGGCTGCTACAGCCACAGTTTAAATTAACTTTGAGCATTTTCTGTCAAATCTTTTCATTAAAGTATTCAAGTGTGAGTTTTTAGTGGCAAGTGAACACATTTCTCGTTCTCGTAGTGCAGGGCGAGTCGTGAGCAAAAAAGAAAACCGCCTGTGCAGACGCTAGCCAAAGGCAACCCATCGGATCAACCGACAGACAAAGCTGAACTGCGGCCGTCGGCGACAAAGTGCGCTGTACACCAAAAGAGAATCGGTACGCGAGCGAGTTTTTTCGCGTTTCAGTTTGGATTTTAGTTACCTGCGCGCAACAACCCTAGTGTCCTGCTGTTCATTGCGGTCCGCGTCTTGAGATTGTGGCCGAGAGTAACGCATCTATTGGCCAGAGTTCCGTGTCCGGTAGGCCAAACTACGTAAGCGGGCGAAAGCAGCCCGTGTAGTGTAACCCGTGTGGCAGCGTTTTCGGTTGTGTGCTTCTGGGGCACCAGAGTACCAGGTAAGCGTCCATCGCTCGATATCAGCACTATTTTGTGATTGAATAGCCTTATCCTACTTTGCAATCCCGGTTCCGAAGCCATTTCATTGCCATTTCCAAACTCAGCTGGCTTGGCCCTCACCTACACACGGACATACGCGTCGGACACACACATACAAACGCACACACTTACATATGAATGTATCTGTTTGACAGCGCACTTTTGCGCTTGTTGCGGACAAAGTGTCACTCGCTAAGCACTCACACTCTCGCCACAAACGCTTAAGAGTTTTTATTTGCTGGATTTTTCAGCCGGAGAACTGAGTACGGGCCGAAATCCGTATCCGTATCTGAAACAAATTTCCTTTTGCATTGTCCTTACAGCTCGACAGTGCTCGTGTTCGCTAGTGCTCGTGTTTGGCCACAGCTAGCACCCTGGAGAAGCAAAACAAGCGCGCCCAGCTCATCCGGGACAAGATGGTGTTGGCGGAGCGCAACACCACGGATGTGGTGCGTAACGGGCGTCGTTCTCGTGGACCTAGTCCCAACACGCACACTACGGGTGGCGTGTCCAACAGCACCAGTCTCGTGGGCAGCGGTGGCGGTACAGGAGGCGGCGGTGGCGGCAACTCCGGGAACGCCGGCGCTAACGAAAAGACCACCACAGCCGTTCCGGGTGCGGGCACGCCGGAGAGCTCGGACGATGATAACTGTAAGTGGATAACCATGAGATCGCCATCTTAACACTTGATCCCTCTTACATATATTTTTACGCCCCTTTCTAGCCACCAAGCGGAATGGCAAGACCAAAGCCAAACAGTCGGAGTACGAAGGTGAGTTTTTGAAGAGTCATTCGCATCAATAATTCATTAATTGAATGATTTTCCTACAGAGAAAATACGCGTGGGTCGAGACTACCAGGCAGTGTGCCCGCCACTCGTTCCGGAGGTTGAACGACGCCCAGAACAGATGAACGAGCGCGCCCTCTTGGTCTGGTCGCCCACTAAGGAGATCCCGGACCTCAAATGTATGTCTTTGGGTCTTGACATGCCCTACAATTTTTTAATATAATACTAACGCACATCTTGTGAACTTACAGTGGAGGAGTACATCTCAGTTGCCAAGGAAAAGTATGGCTACAATGGCGAACAGGCCTTGGGCATGCTTTTCTGGCACAAACACGATCTGGAGCGGGCCGTTATGGACCTGGCCAACTTCACACCCTTCCCGGACGAGTGGACCATCGAGGACAAGGTGCTGTTCGAGCAGGCCTTCCAGTTTCACGGAAAGAGCTTCCACCGCATTCGACAGATGGTGAGTGAAACCTTCTTTGTAACTTGACCTTATTAAGTTGAAAATGAACTATGTCCACAGCTGCCAGATAAATCAATAGCCAGTTTGGTCAAGTATTACTACTCGTGGAAGAAGACGCGTCACCGCAGCAGCGCCATGGATCGGCAGGAGAAAACCATCAAGGCGGTGGTCAAGGATGGCTCCGAGAACGGAAGCGAGGTTGGCAGCAATGAGGAGTCTGATAACGATGACAAGGTAATTATTAGTTAGAATTAGCTAAGCGAAAAGCCAACAGATCCTTCCCCGCTCCTACACACACACACACACACACACACACTCAAGCACATCACATACAAACACTTCGCTCATTCACACTCAATCGCTTCGAACTTCAAAAACACAGACCACATCCAAAAAGAGACGGCTCTTTCGCCTCTCCTCGTAGTTCCATTGGCGCTCCCAGGCACAAACCAAGTAGGCAGATTTTAATACAAATAATCGCATCACAAAGAGATTGTTGACTACTGTAGAGTTAGATTATTAAGGAAGGTCTAGGATACGGATGTAAATCTAGGATAAGACTTAAATTTATTTTAAATGTGCCCCAAAGTATATGTCTAAGATTGTCAATGACAAACGAATGTGAACAGCCGTTGCAAGTATATTTCAAAATGTATCTTTATGGTCATCAAGTGTATTCTGAGTGTATTCAGGCGCGGCTTAGAAAATTGAGGCACTATATATGCAATTTATTTTTCAATGGCTAAAACATTATAAATTTGGATACCTAAATCACAATCACTAGCCGTCCATTTTTTGTTAAACACTAAGCTTGAAGAGAACCGACGTATCAGTACGTCAGGTATTTTCGACTCTAAGATCCTTTTCCCAGACATGCGAAAGTTTTGTAGATTGGACTGTACCCTTGGAAGCTTCCCCTTTTTTTTAGACAGCGATATATGTCGTTTTGAAAGTCTGGTTCGTTATTTTTCAGATAATCGCCGTGCCTGCATACATCTCATAAAATTTTAAATCATTACCCACACACACACACACACACACAAAACGAATACCAAAAACAATAAATGACCAGCATCTATAAGACTTAAACAGAGTAATGATACAGTTTCGTTCGAACACAGAGATTGCGCCACACACACTTGAGAATGATGTATTCCGCAGAGTTAACCTGATTTGATTGATTGAGTTTTTTTTTTAAACAACGCGCTATATCAGGATATCAGGTTGACTGACACTAGACTAAGGCAAAGCAACAAAAAGATTTGTTCTTTGTTCATAAATTTCACACCTATATAAATAGTATATACAAATTACAATATTTTTTTTAAATAATTATAAATAGCATGGTAAATTATTATACGTAAAATAGTAATTTATATAAAGAGATTGATTATTTTAAAGAATTTAAATATTAAAGTAAACAATGCCGAAAAGAACATAAGTTATGTAAATTTATACATATTTGTATAGAGTGAGCAATAAAAGGAACTCATTTCTTTTCCTGACTCACCAAAACACTGACGATAATCATGATGGATCACCACACCTAATGCTAATCCTAATAAATGCATATCTCGTTTGCAAAGAGATTAAACAAAAACGCAAAAAAAAAAAAAAACAATTTATGTGTTTCTTATTCATTGAGATTCGTTTCGCTTCTCCATTTCCGTTTCTATCTAAATTTTTGTTCGACTATTTCCCAACCGTTATCATCCACATCCATACACTATATCACACGCACACACAGATCCACCTTATTCGCACCCTCATCCGAAAATGTAAACCCACACAATTCCCTTCAATTCCACACAATACGTTTCTATATCTTTCATTATATATGTACATAAGTGTTCCTTATCTCGCCTGCCCCTCGCTTGCACCTCCTTATCAGAAAATTGATCTCTGTATTCCCTCCTCAAAGTAAGCTATCATATCCACTAATCTGCGGCCGTCTTTCGATAATGATTTTTGTCCAGCTAAAACGTTTTAAATTCTAAATACTTAAGTACAAACTAGCACTCGCTTTCCCATTTTAACCGTCACCCAAAAACAAGAAACATACGAGAGATTGAGAAAGTTCCGAAACGAAGGGTATACAGAGACTTTTTAGGGGATCCAACACCTTGCTGGTGTTTGGCAGCAATGGTCTTTAAGATCTAGTTAAGACTTTATTTTTGTTTGTATTGGCATTTCGGGAAGGATCGGGATTGGTTGGCCTGGGATGGGGACTCGGACTGGGTCTTTGGGTTCGGTTGTTGGGATGAGAGAGCATGGCAAAACATCGTTTCAAAGTTCAGTTGACAAGAAACCAATCCTGGAGTGCGCAACAACAAACAATCCAAATACAATATTATTGTACTTGTTAAGTGTGTTACCAACTGAACTAAAGCAACAAAAAAATACGTTTTTTCTCTTCTCTTTGCATTTACTGTACAAAAATCCAACAATCGAAACACACCATTAAACAATAACCCGACCTGAAATTGTCCAAAAAAATAATCATTTAAAACAAAACCAAAAAAACGAAATGCAAAAATTCCAAATGAATCGTATGAAATAAAATCTATGTGTTGGTCGCGGTGTCCACTTGAATTTGTTACGATCGCTGCTGTAATTGCAACTGCAACATTTGATTTGCGGATGTAATCTTGTCTTGGCAGAAGGGGCATGGCAACAATAGCACCACAAATACCACTGATGCCACTACGACCTCAACCAACACCGTCACCACTTCCACCGCAAACACCACTGCCAACAACAACGTGAACAACAACCACAGCAATAGCACCAGCAGCAACAACAGCAGTAGCAACAACCACAGTAACATTGGAAATAACAACACCACCACCACCGCCAACAACACAACCAACAACGGTGAAGAGAACAACCAAGGCGGCGGAAGCAACAGCAGCAACACAAGCAACAACGATATGGACACCGAACAGTTGTCACTCTACGGTGGAAATGGTCAGGGCGATGATGTTCTGGGACTTGGCCTAACCGTTGATCGTGTCATTGGGATCAATGGGAGCAACAACGGCGAAATCGGCGGCGATGCCAACTTAATGCAACGCGTGATTGTGGGCGGTTTTTGCAAGATTTGCAACGTTGTATGCCACGTACTCCACGACTCACCGCTGGGGCGCATGTGCAAAAGTTGTCACACCCACTGGAGGTAGATATGACTCCATCTATAAGTACTTCACGTTTGCCGGGAAGTAATTCAAGAAATCAAGCTAATGCCAAGTTTTCTATCTCTCTTTCCAACCTCCCCCCATCCTCACTTTGGAAAAAATCCCAATTAAAAAAAAAAAAAAATAATCAAACGTTGCATTCACTTGACTTTTGTCGCTCCGCCTATCCCAAATCACTCACCCACTATCATACCGAAACCATTCAAATCCGATGATTTGCCAGGCGTACGGGTAACCGTCGACCCATTTCCGGGCCGGATAGCAATGCTCCGCGAAGATCGACCCACAACTGCGCCGCGGCTGCCGATCGGTCCAAACGTAAACCGCCCAAGGGCATGTACATCAACCATGATGATCTAACCGCTCTTGCCAGCTGCAAGAATCCCAGTGAATATTTGTCGGAACGCGATCGGAAGATCACAGCCCTTATGGCCGAAGTAAGAAACGAGACTGTTGGTGGTGTCATAGGATCGATTTGGGGAGTTGCTTAACAACCAATGCAGTTTACAAGTTTAGAGACGGATATATAGATAAATAGATATCAAATCCATTTGCCATCAAAAACCATTCTCTCAGAAGACATCCTACATGAAAAACATCACAATAATCTGTTAATACTGTCTATAAAACTGGTTTAACTGTTTGGTCATTTTGAGTTGCCTTAATTTATATATTTATGTTGATATTAAATCGCATTTATTGACAATCTTCTTTCTTAATTTATATATTTTTATTAATATCAAATCGCAGTTATTAACAATTCTTATACATTTTATGTCATTTTGTCCTGTCTTGCTAGCAGGATGGTGTTTAAGCAGACTTTTTGGAATGCAAAATAGCTAATTAATGAACTATAATCGAATTTCTTTTTCGTCAATTTAAAAGTAAATAGAAAAGTGAATAGAAAGGAAAACATTAAAGTTGTTTAGTCCCATCATGATGAAGAACTATTTTGCCTGTTGAAGCTTAGTTAATAGCGAATGAAGGCATAACAGAACCCAAATTAGAGGTCCTATTCATTGCACCAAATCATCCATTACACACACTGATTCACAACCACACACATACATACACACAAAAACACCAACACAAACACACAATTCAGATCCGATTGTACGACTTGGACCCACTGACAATTTTCAATTGAATGCCCCCCTGCACCCTGACACATTTCAGATACAGAAGAATAGGCAAATGATGGAGCAGCTGGAGAAGGAATGCGAGGCCGTCAACGTCGAGGATGCGGTTACCAAACCGGCTGCGGCCAACACCGAAACTGCCCAACCACGTATCTCAGGCAGATGGACCCCAGACGAGATCCAAGTAGCACTGCTGGGACTCCGCGAATACGGAAAAAACTTTCCTGTAAGTGTTGCACCCATTCTCGTGTTGATTATCAATTAATAATAATGATTGCAGATGATTGCCAAACTGGTCACCACTAAGACGGAGGCACATGTACGGACCTTCTTCTTAAATAATAAGCGCCGATACAATCTCGACCAGATCATAAAGGAGTACGAGGCAGGAAAGTCTGAGGAGTCGGGCCCAGAGGAACAGAACGAGGCTGTCGTCGACGCAGCAGCTGCTGCATCAGCGACCGCATCTGCGCCTACTACCGTTGATTCCGCATCCGCAACTAGTGCGACGGCAGCCAGAAAGCAGTCCACCGAAACCAGCAACAACGGATCGATCGATCCCAATCAGGATACGCTGTCCAAGAAGGAGGACCACAAAAAGCCAGAGCTAGCGACGGGTACCGTTAAGGGTGGCGGTGGTGGTGACTCAGCCGATGTCACACCCACTGTCGCTTCTAGCGGAACCCCAAGCACAGCTACCGGTGGCACCGCCGCTGCTGGCACCACCGCTAGCAACAAGCCAAGCAGCGCTACAATTACCATTACCGATGAGTCCGACACAGCCACGAATTCGAGCAGCGACGTGGTCGCTCCCACTGGAGCAGCTGGAGCCACCGGCTCGTCATCACTGTCCAGCGCTAATTCAGCGCCTACACCAAAATCCCAAGCCAGCAGCGAAGAGTTGTCGCCACAGAAGTCCAATCCCGTGAGCGGGATCGTTTCATCTGGAACTGTAACGGCTGCTAGCCCGGCCGCCAATCCTACAAACAAACGAGATAGCTCCGCATTGGTAAATACTTGCCGAGATTGTTTAACTGGAACTACTTCTCATTGCCTGCTTTCTTTTCCCCTCTCTTCATAGCCCATTGCCGAGCAGCCACCGGCCAAGAAAATTGCCCTTAGCGGTGGCAGTGGAGCCGGAGGAGCGGAGTTCGCGGGAAAGTGAGGAGACCCAGGCGGCGCCAGAAGAATAACTTACTTGCGAAAATAACATAAGATAGCATGTTGAGTTGGGCAGTGGCCAAGAAGAATACGAGACAAGCTGGGAAAACACGTCCAAAAAAATGTGCAGCCGGCCGTTGGATTGCTGGCCGATTTTTTTTTTTTTATTTCTTCAGAATTTTGGGACGCATTTATTTTAAATGAAAAACATCACGGCTTAATCTAGGCTTGTAGAAATTAGTTTGTTTGTAATTTGAGTAACATTGAAACGATTTGGCATGTTACACACCTCAAAACCGTAGTTCGGTACATAAATACTTGAACACACACACACACACGCACGTAATCTTTGACTCTAAAACAATGGGAAAATGGAGAAAAAAAAAATAACAGGAAAATCAAGAAAGATATAGGAGTATCTTTCACACAAGTTGTATAGGTCAGAGATGATTTTTAATGGGTTCAACGGGTAAGATCCTTTCCTATGCCAAGGTCTGGGCCACGTAGACCACACACACACACACACACACACACACACACACACACACACACACACAAAAAACTAAGAATTAGAGCACAGAACCTTAGATGAACAAAGGATTTTAGTGCAGATTATTAATGTAAAATTACAATAATGAGTTGTACACGTGTAAATTATTACCTTTAATATCATACTTTTTTTTTTCGTGAAATAATTTAGCATATAACAAAGAATTTGGAATAGCATTCTAACTTCGATTGGAGCTATTAGCTACTACCATATACATACAATCTGGAAAATCACCCATCCGGCCCATCACCAATTCAGCAACGAGTTTCTGTTAGGCTAATTAATATGTAACTGAAAACACACACTTGGCAACAAATGTATACAACCAACGCTATCCGTTTAAGAAAAGATAATTTAATATGTAATACGAAACAAGAATTACTGTGTCAGGTGGTTACGTCTATCTTACTAATTCCTAGGATCATAAGTATCTACACTGGCCCGTGAAACTCGATTTCCCTGTTCTTAGTAAAAGTGGTCTGAATAAGAAGTTTGCACATCTCGGATTCGGCTTCAAGAAGTCGGTATCCAATGAGTTGTTGATAATAAATATAAATATAATTAACAAATCTGTTGTTTTATCTAAGCTCAATCCTAGATATTTAAATTTATTTAAAACGGCTGAAATACTACGAATTTCTCCTTTGTTTTCTTCAAAACAAAAAAAAACCCACAAAGGAAAAATTAAAACGAAATAAAATAAAATGTTCCATCGGGCTGTAACTTAAACTCAATGCTCATGGGAGTGATGGCTATAATGTTGCTGCCTGTTGGGGCCTGCAGGCATACAGCGCTCTAGGAACGGGACACAGGTGACCAGGTATGCCAAACGATTCACCCAGCTTGGTATCTTGCGGCCGCAGACTATGTGAGCCAGGGTGTTGGAGAAGTGGTTGCAGTTCTTCTGGGTCAGATGGTAGCTGTTGCCAGGGAATTGCATGCCTAGCTGGTCAACAATGCGATCCACATCCGCGTTGCTGAAATGTGTATAGCCCAGCAGAATGCTCTCCCGGAAATGGAATTGTTCGCCAATTTCAGCCTGGCCATTACATGGTTGGATATGAAAGATTCCACTCATCGGAAACTCATGGCCACCAAAACCATATTCACGACCATAAAGTTCAACGCCCGTATGAAAGAATCCCAAGCCCAGCGCTATGGTATAATCATTGGTTTGGACGAGATCATAGACATTAAGTACCACCGGTTCCTTGGGCTCTAGGCTGTCGCAGCTGCTGTCCTTGTTGCCGCCCATGCAATAGCTACTTCTCAATCGGTTGAAGAACATCCTGTGGCAAAAGCAATAACACTTCAACACAGAACTCTCTCTCTTGACTCCTCCTCTATCGGTAGCAGTTTCGTAAGTACTTTGAATTTATTTTTATTAGCTGTAGATATACTAAAAGTTGATAGCTAATCAGAAGCCTTCTTCTCAATGAAGAACTTTTTTTCTCCAGCTATGTGACTGAATGTGACTTCTAATGTAAATATAGTCATAGCTCAATTTTTTTACCATTTCATTCAACTAGAGGTCAGATTCAGTATTGTAACCACATTAATACTCAACTTTATATAGTACTCGTTATACTAATCATTTTGATCAAAAGATTTTGGTAAATATTCTAATATATTTACACTTTCCAAGCCCTTAATCTTTAATAAATAATAATAAATACTACCTATAATTTGTTTTTAATATTTTTATTATTTCCATTTTTGCTGTGTCTGGCATAATTTGTTAAACATGCGTCTTGTAGTTTTCGTTTGGCTTGTTTTTTGGTTTTTTCGTATTTAAATATATATAGGTGATGTATTTTATTGGTTTTGGTTTTGTTTAGTATTATTATTAAATATAACTCGTTAATGCATTGCTTAGCTAAAAAAAATCATCTTATAATTAGTTCGACACACCTTGAATTAGTTAGAAAGTTTGTAGTTGTATTCGTTTGGGTTTGGCTTCCGGATGCCTGCTTTGGTTTTCTGTGCAATTCGAGTCTATGAAAGGTCAGATGGAGGAGCTGTTGGATCTGGTGGATGCGGAGTTAGGAGGAGAAGGATCTATATGTACGTCATATGTTTGAGTAAGCTATATTTAATGAATAGTGAGCAGGCAATGAAAGATCGGTAGAAGCAACCAAAGAGTTGCATTAAATGGAGCCAGGAGCTAGGAGTAGATCTGATCAGATCAGACTGGATACCATTTTGTGTGTTTGGGTAGAAGGGTTTTTTTTTTGTTTTTTGGCGTAGGGGCTAAGCAACCTGACTTATGCTATCGCTAGTACATATTTTAGTATATTTATTTAAATTTATATATACGCATGATGTATGCTTTTACTTTACCTTTTACTTTTTATAATGCCACGATAAAATCTCAATACACAATTTGCTTAGATACTATGACTAGTTGCCTATTACAATATATCGTCCACTTGCATTTGTTTACCACTGACTCTGGCTCTCTTGCTAACCCTCTTTGTCCAAAAAAAAAAATATATTGAAAAAAACAGGATAATATCAACAAGTCTTATGAGTAAATCCCGCCTAGAGCTGAACGATTACGTTCCCGAATTCAAAAACAGAGATTCGGATTTCGGATTTGGATCCGATGATGATGATGCTATGTTTGGCATCCTTATTCGGGGCTGGAAACTAATGACTGGTATATATACTATATACATATATACAACGATATATGCATAGATATAGACAGAGAGATCTGTGGATGTTGCAGGATAACGCTTGACGCACTCCCCCTTAAAACACCGCACCCCAAAGGGCCAATTAAGGTGCGATCTTTTAAAAGAAGTCGTCAAAGGTTTTTGATTATGTCTGGTATTGCAGCATTGGGGCTGACAGGTTGGGATGATGCGACGAGTTCATCCGCAGTGCAGACAGACTCTTGTTGTACCACTCGTCCTCCGGTGACATTCCTGCAAAACAAGAAGAACAGGGGAAAACCAAATTCCATTTATAAAATTAGTTTATATAAATATATTTATATAAATTCTTCTAAGACGCCTTGCATTTCCGTACTGCGGAAATTCCGAACTACACTTGGTCCAGCTCACCTCGACACACACATGACTGACTGGCTTTCTTGGTGGCCCCCTTAAGACATGGCCGGAAATTCGTTTCACTAAACCTTATGGCCGGACTCAGGTCACCTCCAAAGAGACACAGCCCCCTTTCGTTTTGTTTACGCCTGATTGCGATAAACGCCCAGCCTAGTAAGCCAATCTGGTAAGGTGCCTCTGGCCTGGCCATCGATAAACAACATCGGATTTCGGTAGTCGCGCCGACGCTTGCAGCGGAAATTTATTTACGAACCAGGGATTTGGGTGGTACCTAGGGGGGAATGGAGGAGAAAAACCTGAGATTCTTTCCCGAGAAAGCCTCGCGCAAGCCACTCGGTCAGGTTCGGGGAATCGGGAACTAAATTGGCGATCGCCGAAAGTAAGATATGTGATTCTGTACTTCAGTTAAAGTCAAGCCGTGGCTAGGAGCGGTAGATCAAGTGGATCAGTTGGAGTTCAAGTGAAAGTAAAAGTGTAGTACGGAAGTGCAAGTGTTCTCGAACTAGGATATGGGTAAGTTCTAAGTTATCGTACCATGAAACTCACCCATCGAGTCCTGACGCACTCCAACGGATCCCATGTTCGTGCTGTGCGCCATGGAGAACGGTTGCGTCATGCCCGGGTACGAGGAGGCGCCCATTTGGAACAGGTCCTGTAAGGATAACACATAGAATTTATAAATAAGAATCAAGAGATATATATTGAAGTATATCTTACCTGGGGATAGCGATTCATGGTGTTGTGGTGCGGATATGGTTGATAGCCGCGAGAGACGCTATAGCCCTGGATGTTCCTCATCATCCCGTTGCAGGATGGGATCACAGACGGTGCCAGTGCCTTTTGCAGCTGCTTCTCCTGCTTTCGGTACTTGGCGCGTCGGTTCTGAAACCAGACCTGAAATGGAAAATGGATAGGAAAAACGGATTGCATGAATTTCTGTTTGCCTTCACTTTTTCTTGTTTTTTTTCCTGTGGGCAGAATCTTAAGGACCCTTTAAGTTTCCCCCATTTCGGGTCCTGGCGATTCACTTTGAAAAACACTCGGCGGGAAGATGCTTAATGATGAAATAAGAAGGCAAAGCTAAATGGAAAACTCCCCCTGCCCCCCCTTTCGCCAGGACCCATCGTAGTCTCCCTTCATCACTAACCATCCCAGCTTCCCCCACATCTTTGGCCCCTGGCTAAAGGACGATGCCAACGTCTTATGAGTGAAAAAATCTACTAAATTGAAATTGAAAATAAGTTGACGACGCTGTTTGCTGCGAGGGTCTCTGGTCTCCGGTCTCTCGTCTCCGGTCCCCCTTGTCCCATACTCTCTAAGTGAGTGGGAGTGGGAGTATGGGTTGCCTGCTCTGTTTAGATATTATTAAAGACAGTCCTCGTCCTGATGATGATGGTGCCAGTGCCCGTACCCCTGCCCCTGTCCCTCCCCGTCCCCCTGCCTCTTCTTGTGTCCCTTTTTTTCCATGATGGCGAAAAGAAATTGCCAAGATGAAAGCAGGGCTCCGCACTAGACAACCAAGACAACCAAGACGGGGATGGAATGGGCTAGGATGGGCTGGGATGGTGTGTAGAAATTTCCGACATTTTGGAAGCTGCTGCTCAGCTTGCTTTGAGTTACTTAGAGAAGTGCGAGGAGGGCGGAAAATGGGGCAGGCGATGGCGATGCTGATGTCCTGGAAGGGTGACAAAAGGGCGAGCTGTAATGGCGGCACCCAGACTTCAGACGTGGGCGTGGGTCTTTCGATTTTTTTTTCTCCTTTCATTTTCTTATTTATTTTATCATTATTATTATCTTTGTCCATGACTATGTACACGTACATATCTGTTGGGTTCTAGAGGAGTGGAGGAGAGGCGTGAGTGTTTGTGTGTGTTCGAATGTTGGGCCTTGGGTTGAAAGTTGGGGCCGTTTGGAGCGCCTTTAAACGAAAAGTACTGTCATTCGGGGGTTGTTTTCAGAGCCCACTTTATGGCTCGTTCGGTTTCGTTTGGTTGGCTGCCAGCATAAAAATGCCAGCAAGGACACCCTCACAGTGCCCTGCAAAATAATGCTCTTAACCATCAGCCATGTATGGTGTATAGCCTGGCATGGAATCGTCCCTGATATGGTATGGCATGGTCCCTTGCCATGGCTCCAATTCGAGGGTGGAAAATGCGTTGTCTGAATGATTCGATGGAGCTCTGTCTATCTGTCGTTCAATTTCAGAAACAAGCTGAATGTATGTGTGTGTGCTTCATGGGTGGGTTGGGAAACTCAATTAAGGATACATTTGATGGCACACTCTCACACATACATATCTACAAACATACGTACTTCTATATATATATAGATATATATCGTATATATAGCATCCATGGGCTAAATAAGAACAAACAAAATCGAAGGGAAATTCGATTTTAGCCAAAAATTTTTACTCGCCTTCGTTGAGAACGAAATCTTCTTTGGTGTCCCAATCTCAATCCGCCTTTAAGTTGGCCATATAAACTGGCCTAAAACTTTAATTATATGATGGCAAATTATAAATACAAATAGCCATGGTCATAATACATACACACACACACACATTGGCCAGTCGGCCACTCGGCGGAAATATGAAAATTAAACGTATTCAAATTGAATTTACTTTCAGCATTTAATCAAATTTAGCCGCTGCCAACATTTGTTTTTTGCTCGGTTTTGGTTTTTTCACTTCACAGCGCTTAGAGTTTTTGTCTCCATTTTTATTTTGGTTGTTTCTCTTTTTTTTTTTTTTTTGCTCCTCCCATTTGGCCTTTGTTCCATTTGTCGGTGTTTGCGAATAAGTTAGATGAACTTTTTAGCAGGTTGAAGGTGGCAGTTGGCAGGTGGCAGATAGCAGGTGCCAGTTGGATTCCCATGCCACCGTTACCGTTGACCTACAAATCCGAAAGGTTACTAATTGCCATCTTCCCCTCACGCACTTTAACGGCTCATTTCGGTGTTATTTAAGACCGAAATATCACATCCCCAATGGTGTCTACTCCTAATATTTATAGAAACTTATAGACTTCTACTAATGTTTACTAAAAAACATCGGCAGCGTAAGGGAGAGAGCCAGACTGGCGACTTCTTACTTCAAATAAATAAACAATTAAGTTTATCAATAATCATTATCAATCTAGACGCAAGCCTTGCATTTCTCACGTAACCCTTTTGTTTACGCGTCAAGAATTTCGGTTTCAGGAATTCAAGTCTGCCTGCTACTCATATTTTCTGCTCATAAACATTATATCTGATGTCTTAATTAAAAAATTGATTCCTCATCATTGCTGTATCACTTAATACTGTGATATACTTATGATAAAATGGTGTAATCAGAAGGTTTTAAACTGCCAGTAAGCCTCTGCTTAGTCTTAACAATCTTTTGATTATTTGCTAAGTTAGTTTAAAGTTATTAAGTTAATAATTCTATCTAAAAACGAACTAAACACTAAGCTTAAATATATATTTATTCTTTATTTATATAGTATTAGATTTTTACAAGATTCTTTTTGTTTAATATTCCTAAATTTGTTCAATTTAAATGATCTTTTTGGTTTGCACTTGCCAAGAACTACTGCTATATAGGACAATCTGCTTAATCCTTAAATCTTTCCTTAGCCTTCAAGTGTTGTTTTTTCCTTTTAAGCCCATTAATGAAATCTCATTAAATCGCCTAAGAGCTTCCTATTTCCATACATAAAATGTATGGAACTAACTTTACAATCTAAAAGTGAATAAGAAGAACGTTTACCCACAAGGTAATTAGCTTTTCATAGCTTGCCTTCTTCACCTAAATCTTGATAACTATTGAAGCTGGTAAAGGAGCTAGAAGATAGAGATGCAGATGCAGAGGTAGATTATATCCAAATATTATGAAAACACATTCTAAAATGTAGAATGCAGATTGCTCATAGAACAAAGAGGTTCTTCACAGCTATACCACTCGATAGCTTTCTTACTTCTTGTAAGCCACTCTCTACAAATCCCAATATAAGCTCATTAAAAAACTATATATATTGAATAGTTCATTCGCATTGGCAAGTGAATGCTAATGTGCCTCCTGCCGCATACAAAATTTGCACATGAGACATATTCTTGGCTGATGGATTTTCCAAACAGATGTGCTTGGTAACGCCCCTGCTCTGCTCTCTTCTAACGCCCACCTCATCATCATCATCATCATCATGATGGACTCTTCAGTGCAAGATGAGCGTCAATTTTCCCGTTTTCCGTAAAATGTATATGTATATAGAGGACACAAATTTGTCAACACCAACGAGATGTTTTCGTTGCAGGGCGCTGAGTGCCAGAGTCAAGTTGCGAGCAATCGTCGGATTACCAGGGGGTAGAGCTTCAACGGGGTAGCACTCCACCGGAAGGGGGTTGCTGCACATCGACCATCTAGCCGTGGTAAATATTTGAACATTTGCCGAAAAATATGGTTTATGCGGCGTTAATAGACAGGGCTTTCTGCTCTCCGGTTTACAGTATCTAATTTGACCGAGAACAGTTGTTCGACAAAAGGGAAAGCCAGGGGAAGGATGTGCTGATTATACCCTTGTAATAACTGTAATAATCTATAATGATTTCGATCTGAACGGGATATTATAAAATGTGTTACATGAAATGGCACATGTTATTCAGATGGCTTTCGAGTTTATTTCTTGGTAAGCAGATCCAGTTTTAAAAGCACTGGAGTTTGGAGTTGATAAGAGCGAGAGAGATAGATAAATCTATTTCTGATTTTTTGAGATACTTTTCTTTCTGTTAGTTAATTATACTAGTTATAACTAGCTTAATCAACTTGTTAGTTAATATGGAAAGTTACAGCTCATACAAAGCTAAATCCAACGACTTTAAACCATTCCTGGTATATGTCGTCATTTTAAGGGTATAAAAATGTTATCTTTAAGTAAACATATCATTTCGTATATATCAATAGTACATTCCTTTTGGTCTTTATGATTTCCTGATAGTACAGATAATCTACTGATAATCCTTACATCTCCTTGGGGACTTTTTAAAATTGTCTGCATTTTTAAACATTCACTTTAAATGAAATGCTGACAGCTCAGCGCACTTGCTAAAAAGTTCTAACTTAAAGGGACCAAAGAAATGCCCTGTAATTCGACACCGCAGATTCGGGAGTTCTTGGTTTTGGTTGAACATGTGATGTAGCTGATGTAGCTGGCAATCCTCCCTGTTTAGAACTCCCCCTGCAGGGGGACATCCTAGCCACCACCCGCCGCACTCACTTGTCTAGCAGTCATGATAAAACTATAAATTAATTATTACCGCGGCGCACTTGAAAGCGCACCCGAGGAGAACCATCGAACCGAGTGCCCAGTGGGTTATCAAATGCTTTCCAGGGATTTCACGGCTTTAGATGTGACCAAAAAAAAAGGAAATAGAAAGAAGTTGAGAGCAATACCACACTGCGCGGGCCCAGTCAGTTGGAATAATCGGACGCTAATCGGTGACCAAGATCACCACCAGCAAATCAGCGGTCCATCATCAGCGGGACATGTACCAACTATCGAACTTGGGATTCTGTTCAGATTATTCAGATATTATTTTATGACTCTGGCACGGAACAACTGTTGAAATTGCAATCGAAATTGTATTGTAATTGGCTGCCCTCCTTTGGACTGGGCTTAGACATGGTTATGGGTATGTATGTATGGCTCTGGGATTGGGATTGGGTCATTGTGGAGCTGTTAGATGGTAGCTTTACTCACTTGAATCCGCGCCTCGTTCAGCTTTGTTGTTCGCGCCAGCTCTTCGCGGCAGTAAATATCCGGATAATGCGATTTGGCGAACGCTGCTTCCAGTTCTGCTAATTGTTCCTGAAATTAAGCGGATTTTAATTAGGCGAATTCGGTGTGTGGTGCTTTTTTTTTTAATCTCACTTTTCCCCTCCTTATTTTGCCTCATTAAATTCTATCTTTTTTTTGGGGGGATTTTCCTGACTTTCCCTGCCAAACATCTCTTTTGATTTGGTTTGAAAAAGTAAAAGCTAAAGTATGCTAAATCTTAACTAAAAACTAATTTAAAAGCTTTAAAAGGTTAGTTTTACATAAGAAATTCTTTCTTAAAGAAATTTAGGATTTATCTAGAAATTTAGTGCCATAGCTTAGTGATCAGATTATTACTTCCTGATAATCTTTGTTACTAGAAACTAATATTTTTATAATTTAAATTAATTAAGTTTTTCTCTTCAAGAAGTCATAACTAACTACTATTATTACTTAAATTTTAATCTCATATTAAAACCTAATGGTACTTCCTTATAATCATAACCACTTCTGGTCACCTAACACATGGGCTCCTACAACTTATCCATGTATTTTTAGTACCCGTCGTCCACGTCTGGACTTGATTAAACACCTTCCCTACTTGCTTGCCCCTTTGTTGTTGGTCACGTTGCTCTTGCGGCATCAAAGTTTTTAATTACGAGTAACCTTCACGAAATCCAATTAAGATATGGCGCCCATGAGGTGATGATGGGGGGAAAAGTTGAGGTTCAGATGTTTTAGGTGGATCCAAGGAGCCTTAAAACTGTAAACTAAAAACTGAAAACTGACCTGTGTGAATGTGGTTCGATGTCTCCGCCGGGCGGGCGTTGGGCAGGACGCTGTGGTTGGGGTGTGGCCGGCGTGCTGACTGAGCGTTGATAATCCACTTCCGGGCGAGGTGATGCCGGCGGAAACCGTCGACAGGCCGCTGTTGGGTTCCGGCTTGAGCTTCTTGAATGCGCCTTCCGCTGCAAAGACAACATGCATATCGTTGTTTGTCATTAAAAATTATACACAGATACTTCTATATATATATAGATATATATATTCCGCCCCCCTGTTTAATATGCGTTGAGCATTTAAGTCAAGTGGCCAAGACCCAGGCAAAATGATGCATAATTGCCAGGACAGGGGGACATGCTGCCAGGACATCGGGACACTGGGACATTCCGGAACAACACCGCATTGCGGCCACAAGACGTTGCCAGGCCATGGCCATTGTCGTAAAAAGGTGAAAAGGTGAAAAGTTTCGACTTGGACAGACAGACAGAGAGACAGGCACGGCGATGGCGGTCGCATGAATATGCAATATGGGATAATTTATGCAAATTTCTGGCACATTAATCGAGGTAGCCCCGGCTGGGTTGGTTGTTTTCCCCGGTTTTCCGGTTTTACCCAGCTTTGCCTTCATGCCAGAAGATAGAGAGAGGGAGCGATAGAGTCCGTGGTCGGTGGTCCTACAACCCAGGATGACACTTATACACCTGACCTGACGCGTGCCAGCTTAAAAAGGCGGCAAACAGCGGACCAAAGGTCAAAGTAGGGCACTCTCTGTGCGCATCTCCAAAATGGTACTTTAGCATTTGGAAATTTTGGATTTTCCGGCTTTATGGCTTTCCTGTCATTTTTGGCGCTTAATTGACGCGCTTAGCTCGTTAACGAAATGCAAACTATGTAGAAAATGTTTTTGGATGCCATCCTCCTGGCTAATTGAATCACAAAAACACAAATAAATTGAAGCAAATACCGTTATTTATGTTAAGTAAGGACTTGGCGCCATCTCCTCCTTCGAATCCTTCGCAAAACCTCCAAAACCGCCCACCGTCTAATGTAATTGACCTTGCCAAGGGGTGTGGCTTCGTTGTTGGGCATTGAATGTTGTATTTTGGATATTTGGCTATTGCATGTTGAATGTTGGATGTTGCATAAGCAAATAGGGTCAAACAATTGGCCACGTTTCCAATTGCAAGGAAAACGAGGAGGCTTTCGAATGCAACACATCAATGGTGAAGGAAATCCCCCTTTCTTAAGAACTTTTCTTATTCTATTTCATTGTTCTTGAAAAAACAAAACCATTTCATTTGTTTGTAGATTATAATAGCATTTTCTTAAGAAGTTTCTTGTGCAACAAAATGAGAAATTATACTCGCATCTGGTAATAGATTCTGTCTGTGGTTCGCTAGTAATCTCTAAAAAAGTTCAAATTGATTGATAGTTGAGCTTTAAAATGTTACAGTGCTTTACATTAATTTCTTTTAATCGAAAATCCATATAAATTTGGTTTGAGTTTTGCAGAGGATTGCAGAAAATATAAAGTTGAAAACTGCCAAGCGAAAACATTAACTTACAAAGGTTTCAATCAATTGGAAATTTAAAAGCGTTATGTTTATATTGACTTCATTTTTTGTTAAAAAGTTTGTTATAAAAATGTTTCTGATGGCTAAGCTTGTTTGGTATTCAGTTTACTAAATAAATTACTTAGTCTCAATGAAAGTGCATGACTACTATCTGGCATTTAATAATATTTTGTTGTTTTTATTACACCCAACATCTCTGATCTAATTAATAATTCTATTCAGCACTAAAAACTAAAATAAAAAACATTTAAATCAACTAAGTAAGACAACTTAGTTCTATTGTCAGTGATGTTATTTGGTTATCCAGTTTAAGCGGTTAATATGTGTAAATTAAGAAAGAACATTTACTTGTTTGGCATCCTAAAGGACTTTAGTTGGTATTTGTATTTGTATTTGTATTAGTTAGTATATGTCCATACATTTAAGCAACTAGAATCTTTAGTTGACATGTAAACTAAGGTTTCGAGCTACTCCTGTAAGTTATATACTTATACACTTATATTCGCTTTCGGATATAAATAATCTTTTTACCAAAAATAGTTAAGGGCACTATTAATATACTAAATCCTGTAAAGCTGATATAATAAGCTGATATGATAAGCTGATATAATGAGAATAATTCTATATAAAAACCGCCGGCAACTGAGCTTTTTGGTTTTTAAATCTTTACAGTCTTAACAGTCTTACCAAGCAGAACTTATCGATACATAAGTTCGATACAAGCAGAACAGCTGTTTTTACCGTAAGATATAGTGACAGGCTACACCTACTACAACTTTATTTTAAGTTTTTCTTCAAAGAAATCACATCCAAAAAACGTGGCCAACTAAATCCTTAATCGATTATCTTTAAAGTAATCCTTGAGCCATCTAATTGACCCAATCAAGTGATTTGAAACTGTCGAAAAGTGCGACTTAGCCCAAGATCTCTCCTATACAGCTGACTAGATTTATTGCGAATTAAGTGTTCTCCGCTCAATGGGAAATCGCTTGGATTAGAGGATGTCCAGCTGTTCGTCAGTGTAATCTTCACCAGAATGGCCGTAAGTGGCTGCCACTGGATGAGGATGGAATGGGGGCAAACAGGACATGGCAAGAGGACACAGGACACGACCTATAGCCATGATAAGCCAGTAACAAAAGGGGACAAGAAGCAGTAATAGGAAGCTGCAAACGAGCATCAACAAACAAGCGGGAAACAAAGGACCGAGGACAAAGGATTATAGTCATCAGGACACCCACCAAAAAAAGAGAAAAGAAAAGGGTACTGGTGCGGGTGCCAAAGGATAATTTCCTGCTAATGGCCAAGACCAGGCTATTGTGGACAGATTAGGAGACCAGGGATCACGGACACTCACCCGAGATGGTGTGATCGGAGAGGCGCGAGGGCGGCGTGTGGGCCGGCGTGTGGTGGTGCGAGGATGAATCCATGCCCGGCGTCGGCAGTCCGGAATAGAGGGCGCTGAAGTCCTCTGGCGTGCTGCTGCACTTCCGCTGGTGGTTTAGCGAGGACGAGGACGACTTCTCCAGCGTCGTTATCGGCGACCGTGTGTCCTGCACTGAACTGGCCAAGCTTAGAAGCCGATTCTCGTGCGATCCACCAATCCCCATCAGCCGTTGGTCTTGGAACGACATAAATTTGGTGTCCTGGCCTACTCCACCATGCTGCATACTGGCATGATCCTCCAGCAGGCCCTGCTGCAGCCCCAGCAGTCCACCCACTAGATTCGGACGTAGCTCGTCCATGCTCAGCTTGCCCGCTTGTCCGCCGGCCGAAAAGTTCAGCTGGCGGCTAAAGATCGCCGGAAAGATGTTGAACTGCTGCGAATCGGCGCTGGACTGCGGACTCAGCCCCAAGCTATGTGGCGCCACGTGTGGAATCGAAGAGGAGGAGGCGGCGGCGGCGGCTGCTGCCGCTGCTGCTGCTGCGGCCGACACCGATCCTGTTCCCGCTCCGGATGAGCTAGGTCCGTTGCCGATAAGCAGCGTGGGTGTTCCAGCGGAGACGCCTCCGTTGTTGATCAGCTGCTGTTGCTGCTGCTGTTGTTGCTGCTGCTGCTGTTGCTGCTGCAGCGGGCTAGCAACTCCCACGCCCGGCGGCAACTGTTGCGCCTGCTGTTGTTGCTGTTGCTGCTGCTGTTGTTGCTGCTGCGGTACAACCGACGGTAGCAATCCGTGATGACCGTGGGCTATCGCTAGGGCGTGGGCGTGACTACTATGGGCGTGACTGCTATGGGCGTGGCTGGCGTGGGCGTGCGGATGGGTGAGAGACAAGGCGGCGGCCGTATTGCTACCGTTACTTGGATTATTACCGCCGGATTGTTGTTGCTGCTGCTGTTGTTGCTGCTGTTGCTGCTGTTGCTGTTGCTGCTGCTGTTGTTGCTGCTGTTGCTGGGTCGCTGTTGGATTATTGCTGGTGCCGCCGACGACGACTCCTCCGGAGGCACCAACACCACCACCACCGCTGACACCACCACCGGAACCAGGGCCGCCGGCACAACTCTGATGTTTGAAATCCAACTTGTGGCCGGCGTAGAAACGCTGCGTATCGATATACGTCTTGAAGAAGTCGATTGAGTAATCCAACTGGAAGCTGTCTCGCGGCGAACGCGCTCCCGTTTTGATTGATCGAATTTTAATGGGTGAAGTGGCCTTCGACGGGAAAGGCCTATGCTGGGTTTTACACACTGGTTTTCAGGATATCTATCTATCTATATATATATAGATATAGATATATATGTTCAATCTGTTGTTCGATTTCGATTTCACTGACTTGAACGCACTTTAGTTTGGCACTTTTGTTTAGCTCGTTGACTGCCCGACGGCAAGAAACTGATATATGGAACCACTTGGACACGACACATTCAAAAAAAAAGAGGACAAGAACAGTCGCTAATGTATATGTCCTGTATATATATATGTATATATCTCTTTAAGGATAAAGATGAAGATCAAGGCAGCGTACCGGTACCGCGAACCATGGATCGTTTTGTTTAAGACCGTTGCCGCTGGGATTGTTTGTTGGTGGTGTACCAGGACCGATGTGCCAGGAGCCGCTGCAGCAACTATGGCTGTTTGTTTTTTGACTGCTGCGGTGCTTTCGTCCTGCTCCCCAGGAGCAAGATTGTGAAGAAGAAGAGCAAGAAGAAGAAGACGCTGTATTTCGTGTGTGTGTGTGTGTGTGTGAGTGTGCGCGAGTTCAAGAAGATAACAAATTTCGACTCGTCCTTGTTGTTATCCTGTGTGTTTTCTTTTTTTTTTCGTGCCGTTTTTTGTATTCTATTCAGCTCCTTTGTTGTGGTTGTTGTTGCTGTTGCTGCTGCTGCTGTTGTTGTTATTGTTGTTGCTGTTGGATGGTTAACGCAGGCACGGCGATACGTATTCTCGGCCGATCAAACTTAAAATGATATACAATTTCAGGCAACATACAAAATTATAACGAAATTAAGGATCATGTGCTCGACAACAGAGACGCCGCCGTCGCTGCTCGTCCTTTTGCTGCTGCTGATGCTGCTGCCGCTGGTTCAGGCTTTTGCTGTTCCTCTTTTGCTGTTGCTATTGCCTTTTCCCAGTGTCCTGGTGGTGGCTCCTGCTATGTGTGCGTGTGTGTGTATCGTTCTGCTGCGGGGACATTTGCGGGCTGCGCGCGAACGATTGGTGGTTAGCAGTCGTTCGGTGTTAGTGTGCTTTCCCAGCAAAAGTATGATTGTATGTGTGTTTGTGCCCGTCTGTGTCCTGCCGGAGACCACGAATCGTTAGTCGTACTAATAATTTTCAAAAAATAATGAACCTTCTGCCAGAGCGAGAGATGGCTATGAATCTGTCGGTGTGTGTGCATATATTGCCCACCCGCTCGCACACTTTGCACCGCTTGCCGTCTCGCTTTAACTTGCTTGGTTAATTTCGTTAGTTGTTGCTATCATCGTCCTCGCCGTCGTCGTCGCCATTGCTATGTGATTTTTTCTTGTTTTTGTTTGTTTGGTTTGTAACTGTAGTGGTGCGTGTCCTGCGGCCAGTCCGAATTCGCAATCGCAATCGCAATCTCAATCGGAATCTGAATCTGAATCCGAATCCGAATTGGAATCGCAATCGGATTCAGAGTGACATTCCACATGAACGCCAGGACCTGGTCGATCCTTAGCGACGGCAGTTGCTCCTGGCGTGAAGCGGATAGAGTTGATGCCACGACACAACCATGTCATCGGCCAACCAGACGGTCCGATCAAGCTGAGGATTGGGGCTTTGGCGGCTGACACTTTGCGGCTAGTCCGGGAGCAGCTTAATCCTGGCTTAAACCGGGCAAACCGAGAGGCTGCTCCATCTGGGCGACTCGACTCGAATGCGGAGTTGCGCTGCAGTCGTATTGAGGTACTGGTGAAAGAAAAGGCACTAGTGTTGGCGAAAGAGATAGCACCAATGGCAAACGGCGACGTCGGCAGAAGTAGCGATGTCCTGCCAACTGTATGACTAGTTGTCTCGCTCTAACGCTTGCTGGCCTATGGAGGGCATAGTTCAACCAATGAGAGTCTAGCAAAATGGAGTTTCCCCTTCCCTGTCGCCGCAGTCGGCAGTTGTTGTTGTTATTTTTGCCGCTGCTGCGCAATGAATTAATCCTTGTTAAATGTGTCGATGACACAGGACGACAGGATGGCGGCGTGGCGCTGTTGCCGCTTTTCTTGCCACTTGCCACTTTCTTTCGGCTCGCCTGCAGTTGCGCACCGCCATGAAAATGCCAGAGAAAAGTCGGGAAAAGCCAGCTGTCTATCCAGTTCGTCCCGTATCCCAGCAATCCTTAAAACAATACATTCAGCTGAAAGTCCCCAAATGCCCGTCTGCTGCTGTTCCTACTGATGCTCCTTTCCTTTCGTTTCGTTTCCTTTCGTTTGGTTTGGTGGCACCCCCGATTTCCCGACTTCTTGTTGAATTTTTCAGCGAGGGCGTCCTTCTTGCCGTGAGGATGAGGGCTCCACGTAGCCGGCTCTGGCTACGCTTTAAGGCGGCCTGCAAATGGTTTCCAAATGGGCCACTCATCGGATCTGTTGTCGCTGTCGCAGGACCCATGTCCCTGCCCCTTTTTGGGCCTGGGTCGAAATGATTAAAACTTTTTCTTCAGCAACACAACAAAAAAATAAATAAAGTAAAAGAAGAAATTGCTTAACTGGGTACCATACACATATGTATCTGCGGCAAAATGATTTGGGTCTTAAAGAGCGAGAGCTAGAGTGGAAATGAAAGCTTAAAGAATATGGAAAACGAAAGAGATTATGCTGTAATATTGGGGTTATAGGCGGATTAGGATGATTTATAGTTAGATAGTCAAATAAATATTAAGAAAAGGAACAAGACTTCCTAAGAAATAGTAGTTCTACCAAAGTAGAAGTAGCCTTATAGGTTACAGATATAAAATAAGTTTACCAAAGGCTAGAAAAGTTGTACCTAATAAATTAGATTAAATGTTTTCATCTACTATGATATGCGTAAGGAAGTTATCTTAAATTCTGCTAAATATTTAAATGCCTTTAAAGGTAAATAAGCTTAATAATAATCAAAAACACCATCTATAAATAAGCAGAGGAAGGTTTCTTTTAATCATTTCTTAAAGTAACTAAAGTTTCTTTTACGGCTCTCTCTAAAAAGTTAACTTATCTCACGTTCTAGAACACTTTTCGTCTAAATGCAATTTTGTCAATCGGTTGGGGTTTTAGATGCAAGTTTAAGAAGTATTTGTTTAACTACTTTTACCATTTTTTGTTGGTGTTTCAGCATATATAGTCAATAGCAAGGCATAATATAGTCAAAATACAAACCGTTGATCTAAATATTGTCTGTTTTTTGATGCTAACAATCTAAGAAAACTTTCCATAACTTTTAAGTCTTTTTATTTGCTAATTTTACAATTTTTAAAACGTGTTATCTGCTACTTATAAAAGTATGGCCTAAAAAAATTATTTATCAGTTTAAATGTCCAATGGGAAATGTATATCGGTTTTTCTATACACATATATTTACACTTTCTTCTGTAGATTTTTCCATTTAAACAAAATTTATCTTTTATGCTGCAAACTAACTTGTCTAGTTATAGGTAGATATAACCTTTCCCGATTTTAGTTAGCTATCCAAACTAGCATTCTTTCTTGTTAATACTGCAATTGGAACAGCTTTAAGCTTTAAGGTTGCATTTAAATGCAGAACGTCAGGTCAAAGGGCGCCCGGCACACATACAACTAAGTGTTCTCTGTGGGCGAGTGTACGTGGGCAAGTACTTTCCCAAAGTCAAACAGGAACACACACTCACACACACACAGAGAGCGAGAGACACACACAGATAAGGAGACGAGGAGATGGGAAACGAGGCAGTGAAGCAGGCTATTAAGCATCCATTTAGGATACTAATTTGTGTATCATTACAAATTGTATCTGTACACACACACACACACACGCTGGCAAACTGTTGGCCACAGCCACTGCACACCAGCCAGGCAGCCAGGCAGCCACCCAAGCCAGCACCCATAAATCCACCATCCCATTCCCCTTCAATTCCACCCACACTGGCCGCAGGCATGCTTGCCTTTGCTCCGCTCACATGTTACTCATACGCAGCGTTGGCCACAAAGAACATATCACTGAACACAGGGATTGCAATGGCACAAACCGAAAGAGGAGCGGGCGGAAGATATGGGGGGGGTATATGTTGATGGTGATCATCATAACATCAATTAAGGCTCCTATCCATCTATTCCATTTCATTCGACCAACAAAGCGCCAGCAAAAAGCCAAGGAGAAGCCCCAAAAACAACAGCATCTCTATCTAGTTTTCCTCCTTCTTTTTTTCCTGCCTTATTTATTGATGTTGTTGCCTGGGTCGACATCTTGCAATTTTTGCCAAACGAAACGAAAGAAGAGCGATGGCTCAGATGGGCAGGGATTGTTGCTGTTGTTTTGCACTGGATGATGGCTAACACACACACACACACATATTTACACACTTTTGAGTCCTTAGGACCAGGACCTTTTTCTTCTTTCTCGCACACACACAAACACACAGGCATATGGGGTCGAAACAAAAAAAAGAAAAAGAGAAAAAAAAAACGAAGCAAGTAAGAAAAATGTATCTCATTGATGTGGCTTTTTAACTTTTCATTATTTACCGCTAAAAGCATCTTTTAAAAATTTTCAAATAGCTGCCGCAACAGAAAAAGCGACTGACAACAACAAAAAACGAAGAGCATTGCTAAAAAGGGAAAAGTTCAAGGAACAGAAGAGAACAGAACAGGGCTAAAAAATGCGAAAGACAAAAAAGCGAAATAAAACGAGAATTAAGGATATAATCAAAGTGTGGCGACTAAGCCGTACCTAATAATTGCTAGTTACAAGCTAATTGCTAATCTAGTCTGCAGATTAAAAAGGGGTTGGATCTTACATTATCTTAAAACTCTCTCTTAACTTATAACCAAATTGAAATAATAACCAAGGGATTAACCATTTTAATATCAACTTGATCAACCTATCTTTAGTGCCTTTTGGAACTTTAAAAATCTATATAATTAATGCTAACATATCCTAACATATCCATGAAAAATACATATTATATAACAGTTAAAATTGTCTATAACTACAAATCTATCACGGATATACCCGATTTTTCTACGATTGAGTGGTATGAAAAGGAAAGCAAAATGAAAATGGTTGGGTGCACGAAAAGTGCTCGTTCTCCATCCACCCAACTCTCCACCCCCCCCCATCCTTTCTCCATCAAACCACCAAAGGCCGCCGCCCCCTCACCCCCTATTCCCCACTAGCTACCCTCAACCGGCTGACGCCATTTTGCCAGGACTTTGATATCACCCCCATTCGCCTGTTTCGTCCTTCAACTCATTTAGCTGATGCTGCTGTCATTTTTTGCTCGTTCCTTGCGGCTGCACCACGCCCACTACTTGGAGCACTAGCTACCCGCCCACGCCCCCTTGCCCCCTCGTCCATT